AATGGGCATATATCCGGTATAACGAATCTTAATTACACAGCAATTAAAAAGAGCAGAAAAAGATGAAGCAGAAGGCGTGCTGCTAACTATTTTGGCACAATATTAATGAAGATATGTCTATATAGACATACACACACACGCACACAATCAGTCAGCCAGTCAAAAGCGGGTTACGACTGCAGATTGATTAAAATTAATAACAAAAGAAACTTCAGCGACGCCACGAAGGCAGAACTATGAAATTTGCTTTATTAAAACATCAGAAGCAAACAAAATTTTCACTTTTAATTGATTTTTATTATGCCAAAAGAATTCACTGAGTAAAATTTCAATTTGTTTGTTATAAATTTTGGTTGTTTTTATTGACTAGCCCAAAGTTGGCATCTATTTGTTATATTCATATGCATAGAACTCTAGCCAAAAACTCTATGATGTCAGCATTTAAATGCTTGTGCAGTCAAGCCCATAATTTGGCTTAAATAAAACTTTGTAAGCGCTCGAACTGTAATTGATTGTTGATTGATTTTAAAAAAAAACCGTTTAAATGTTGCCACAAAAAAAAAAAAAAACAAAAAAGACCAAAAAATTTCACTGTCAAGCTCGCCAATGCGGCGCCCACACGAATTCCATTTGCATGCCAAATGAGCACATGTCACAGAAAAAAAACAAGAGAAAAGAAAACAGAATAAAAATAAAGAAATACGGTAGCTGCGAGGGTTGCGCATGCGCAGTACCACAGCACCGCAAAGAATCTCTGGAATATGTAGCTTGTAGATACTTAGATACTTTTAGATACAAGCGCGCAGCTGCGCCATGATGATGTCATGGAGTTTTCGGTCTTCGTTTTTCTCTATATCTACGACGCGGGTGTAACGCCCCAGGAGGGCGTAGCAAATGCCATCCAAACAAACACACACACAGCATAAGTAATGGCAATAAGCATGAAGCGTTGCGCGCTGCCTATTGACTAATTTTTGCAAATAACTTTTGGAGCAGCACACAATAATAAAGCAAAGCCGACATAAAAATAAAGACAATCCATATACATACTCCCACCACACACATACACGTTCCCCTTTGTGTATGTCTTTTTGTAGTCAAGTTAATAATGAGCCAAAAAATGTTTGGTAATAACTTTTAAAGAGCCTCAACAATTTGACTGCAGCTGACAAAGAGCATTGCTGAGTCGAGTGCCTGGGAATTATCAAAAATATTTGTCTATGAACGACACAAATCCTAACGAAATTTCTAAACTCTGCCAAAAAATATGAATAAAAAAAGATTAAGTAATAAACTGGACAGCAGATAAATACATGAGGCTAAACGCTATTTGCAGTTGTTAATAAAATAGTATAAAATATATATGAAATTTGTATGTGAAATGCGACCTTTTGCCATTAATAAAATTTGCTTATGTTTTTAAAATACTTTGAGAAGGTTAAGATAAAATATTTGCAATAATGCTTATGATATTTTTTATATTTGAGTTATATATAATTAAAAAATTAAAAGTATTTAAAGCTCAAATTTTTTATATATATATATGTTATATTCAAATATATTCTGTTATGTATATATTTTTTTAAAATTTATAAATAGTTTATGTATCATGAAAAATCAGATTTGTTCGGTTTTACCTTTATGTTTTGATTGCTGAGTAGTATTCAAGTATTTTATACGCAATGGATCTAGCTGTTGAATTTTGAATATATATATGATAATCCCGCTAAAAATCGACAAAGTATTGTATTAAATTTATAGTAGAATGCATACATTGAAAATTAACTAAAGACGCCGTCAGCAAAGCAAAGCCCAAACGAAATCAAAGTTTAACATTTATTTTTTATTAGCGAAGTCAAAACGAATCAAACCATATTTTTATCATCAAACATTTGGTGCTAATCTTTACAATAGAATTGCCCCATTTAAAGCTATAAAACTTTCATGACTGGCTGAACTTTTCCGTAACAAATGTTAATAAGAAAAATTTTAACAGCCAATGAACTTTATTTTTTTTTATTTATGAATTCAAGCCTTTTGTCGGAAAATTGACAAGTCTTTGTCTTGTTATGATAAACTGTTTCTCTTCGCCATAGAAATCGAATTTCCCATCAGTTATTTACAATTTTGTACTTATAACAAAAAAAAAAAAAAAATAATAATAAAATCAACCGTTAGGGTGCTGTCAGCTTGATAAAAGTTCCCAATAAATTCAAGGCTTATAAGCTCGTATCTCTACAAAAATAAAACAACTCTCGCCCTCTTTTTTATTTCAATGAGGTTTTCTCTTTTTGTTTTGAAAATTGTTTAGCATGCCAAGCACAAACAAAAGAATTTATAACATTGTTATTGTCCGACTGGCTGAATCTTTTTGCTTTTGTTGTTGCTGTTGTCATTGAAGCCAAAACTGAATTTTAATTTTCGGCAAGTGATGAGGTAATTTTATTCAAAAAAGTCCCAAATTAGGCAAAAAATTAAAAATAGGAAAAGAGGCACACAAAAAAAGAAGCAAGCTGTGCTACAGGTCTCATTGTTAGATCGCGGCACAGCTATAGGATCTCTGATAGCACATAACAAGAAATGTTCATCAAATTAAATGTTATCTTCGTCGATCGCACCAATAATTAAATTCCGAAATATCTTTTAACAAACGTTCCGCGCATGTAAATGTGATTCTGCAAAGCTTAAACATTTATGTAGCGGAGGCAATACATAAAAATCATAGACATATTTATATACATATATATCTGAAGAAAATTGGCTTATGTTTATTGATTTATGCAAATCTCCTTTTGCCGCTGTGAGGTTATTGCACGCCTAATCGGACAACTTTCCTATATGGCTAGCTGGCTGGCTCACACAAAGAGCTGCTCCTACTCCAGTTCTACGCGACTCTATGGGGAGGCTGTTTAAAAATAGCATAAAATATAAAAATCGTAAATATCGCCTCCTGCCTTAGCTCAGCTGTCGACACATGTGCGCGCCGCATGTGTTCCTCAGTCTTTTACTTTTCTCCCCTCGGCTGTTCAAATCTTTTGCGCCTGCGCAATTGAATGTTTATATTTGGCCAGCCTGTAAACAGGATACTTCTCACTCTCCCTCTCTCTCTCTCTCTCTTTCTCTATTTAGAGTGTGCACAGTTGTGTTTTTACTTTCATCTTTTATGACGAGAACTTCGTCGTGCTGCTATTACCGTTTTGACACTAAAAATAGTCGAAGCATGTTACGTTGCAGCTGTGAGGAATTTATATACTCTGTAGTGTAAGCAATTAAAAGTGGAGCATGCTCAATTTCGAGTCAGCTATGCAAGTGTAAGAGACTTTTGAGTTGTCAGATAGAAAGGCAAAGATTTTAGTGTAGATTTAATTTAGATTTAGATATAGATAAAGATACAGCTACAGACAAATATTTATCAAATCATCAAATCTTAAGTTTCTTAGACGTTTTCTTTCCATATTCTGCTCAAGTAACCCTCCACTTTATATAGGGTATTTTAAGTTCAAGCCTGGCTTCTTCTAATCTACATTTAACTGCCATTTGTCCGGAGCCAAGCGTTTAGTTTGGAATGCTTGAAACGCAATGTGCCATGCACTTTGCTTTAATGATTTTTCCGGCTAAAGCCTAAAGTTATGCCTCAATTTCTGCCACGTAGACAGGCAGTTCTTATTACACACAAACGCATATGTATATACATATATACATATAAATACCCTATATGCATATATATGTTTATATATCAGTTTGTATGTGGGTAGTTGCCTTTGGAGCGGCACAGATAACAAAGTTTTCGTCGCACTCGCTATCGGCGTATGGTAAAGTTTATTGGTGTTGGCGCTGTTTGCTGATTTTATTGTTTGGTTTTCACCTCTTTTTAATTGATTTTTCACTTTTTATGCCTTGACACACACACAGAGAAAGACAAAGAACATTGTAAAGTGTTTTGTTTGCCTACAGCTGGCAGCAAAATTGTCTTTTAGATGACCTCAGCAGCAGCTTTAAAGATTGTCTTTTATTTTTCATAAATATATATATATAAATGGGGCGTTCTATATGATTTATGGCTATTAAGAAATATGTTTCTATTTATGATCTCATCAATTCAATATTCAATATTCTTTCATTCTTTAATAAATGGTTTGACATTTGGACCTTGGCCTTTCTCTAGGATTTATGACATTCGGCTAAGTGCTTTTTGTATCGATTGAATTTTTGGTACTAAATATAAATTCCTTTCTTTTTTTTGGCACTTATATATAGGCGAACATATGTGCCAGGTATGCGATAAGATAAACAATCTACTAATCAGATAACTCCAGGCCAGGGCTGACAAGTTTGCTTTTCTCTTGTTTATACTCGGAATCCACTGAAAATGGATAAAGAGTTTAATGTTCTTGTTCAAGAATGAGCTGCAATTGGGAATAAGAGAACAAGTATATATATTCTGTATCTAAATCAATAGTTGAGCCGATATAGCTTTGTGTGACTGTCCGATCGCTTAGGAGTAAATAGACACATGTAGATCGCAAAGTAAATACAAATGATAATGAGTACTCCTGAGTGCTCAGGGTATCTTAAAGTCAATAAATTCGCTGACTAGAGCACACTCTTAGGAATTTTTTTTGTTATCAGTTTTAAGCTTTACTACAACAGCAGAAATGATAACGATAAATGGAATTCACCATACGCAGAAGCCTAAAGAAAACTGAGGCAAGAATTCGTTTTTGCCACTTTCGTTTTTTTTTTGTCGGTTTTTACTCTGGTTTAATAAGAATTTTGAATTGCCCACTCGCTCTCAGTATCTGATAAAAAAAAGCTTTGCTACGCCCAAAATCGAGTAAAAATTCCGAGGTAGTAATCAAACGGCGCGGGCAGTGCAAGCAACTTGTTGAAAACTCTGTCAAAAATCGAACTTAGTGTGCGCCGTTCTATATAAAATCAAAAAGAAATATATATACATATATATTTATATATAGGTATCTATACTTTGGAATGCTTTGGCTGTAGCTGCCAGTTAAAATTTGTTGTGTGCCGATGAGTGAGTGCATGTGAGATCGAATTGAAATCAGAGCACCAAACATTATGGAATATAACAGTATATTACGTTCAAATTTCTCGCGCAATGAATACAAACGATATATATCGTTTGACCGTCAATCTTTGGGTAGGTTGAACTTGAACTTTATCCTAACTTTATGTGAATAGCTTAATCAGATTCCAAATTACACAATATCTCTCCTTATCTATGGTATGCTAGGCTAACAAATACTTTTCGATTAGCTACTGTCAACATAAATGTTATATAGTTGATTCAGATATATAAATATTCTACAAATACGTGACTTATAAATCAATGTTAACTCTTTTTGTATTTCGTGATGTTATTTTTTTTTTGTTGTTATGGGTTATACGGAACCTCAAAAATTACGTAATCAGCACAATTGTCAAGTTGATAAAAAAGGAAAAAAGTTATGAGCATTCAATTCTTAGCTATATATATTAATTGCTGATAACATATTACGGCATAGACCGGAATGTTAAAGGTTTTTTTCTTGGTGATTTTCTGTGCCCTAATCGGTATTGCACGCTATCATAGAGTTAAAATAAGGCCATTGACTAAGAGTCGAATAGTAATATGACAAGACTTACTTTGTCAAATAGGTATGACGTTCCACATTAGATCATCTAACTAGAAATGAGCAATTGAATGAGTTGCTTGAAGAAGAGGAGGGGAAAGATCATATAGAAATTAGTAACTTAAGAATAGTTTATAAAAAAATATTACTAAAAATTATTTAGCTAATCAAACTTTTAGCTATGAATAATCACTTAAGATAATTTCTTATAGCTACGCCCATCGAATATTTCATACCAAATTTGGCAACATTTTTATGGGACACCTCTATTAATGAACGAGTGACAATTTTAATAAAGTCGCGCCCACCAACGCTCGACGAATCATATAAATGAATAATTACCAAAACAGTTTAAGAGCTCACAGTTTCAGATGCATTCAAGAACTCGCTAGCTTTACTAAGAAATATACATATAAACTGCTATAAATATAACGAAACCTGAAATTATTGGTATAAAACGGGGTTATCAAATTCTGAAAAATTATTTCTTAAAAATGAACCTATTTAAAAATCAGTAAGTTACTTTTGTAAAACAAATATTTTACTTGCTGTGAAACGACAATGAAATTGTCTTAGCTCGAAAAAACAAGGGCATTCATTGAACCAAACACGTTTGCTCACCTGCTTGCAGGCAACGACATATACTTTCATATGTGTATATATTTATATATATATATATATATATATATATATATATATATATATCTGTGTACATATAAGCTAATGCCCATTAATTACTTTGACTTGCGATAAGTGGCAAACAAAAACAACGCGTGGAGGACTGTTCTTATCGAGTCAGTGCATTGAGCTGTGCGTACTTATTGGTAACAAAAGGCCAATGGTTCAAAAATATGTCACTGGATGTAAATAGCTACTAGATACACTGTTTGAAAATTAAAATTGGCTAGAAAGGGTTTTATAGAACTTCAAGGTGCATCTCAATGGGGACCTAGGCAGAATTGCCAATACAAAGCAGTGGCTGCCAAACTGTGTCTATGGCTAAAAAGTATTGTTTAAAGCCAGAAATAAATATGTATACATAAGAATATATAAAATACTTTATAGCAGCATATTATTGAACTTCATCCTTAGAGTAGCTCAGCAGTTGTCCAACTGTAGAGCTTAGTCTTAGAGTAGAAAACCTCTAAACTTTTGTTAAGCTATCAATTCATTTTGTCACTTTGTGTACAGTGTATCGACACACTGCTTTGCATACATTACCGCGCTAAACGTTTAGTGCACTTGCAGGGCTTTTGCTTTGGGTTTTGCTACTATTTATGTTTTTAGTGTTCGACCGTGTGCTAATCCATGTTTCTACCAATGCTTTGCATTTCTTATAGCATCACAATATGAGCCCGGTGGCTATTCAACGCTGCAAGCGTCGTCCTCCACCCGCGGCTCCACAACCAACATGACGCAGCGCGATGGCATAATGAAGTTTGAGAATGATCGCATCAAGACGCTGCAGGAGGAGCGTCTACACATCCAAAAGAAGACCTTTACAAAATGGATGAATTCGTTTCTGATCAAGGTAAATTGGTTATTGAATCAAGTTACTTTCACAAAACGAGAATGCATTTTATTTCAATTTACTTCTAGGCCAAAATGGAGGTCGAAGACCTATTCACAGATCTAGCCGATGGCATTAAGCTGCTCAAGCTGCTCGAGATCATATCGTCGGAGAAACTGGGCAAGCCGAATAGCGGACGTATGCGTGTACATAAAATCGAAAATGTCAACAAGAGTCTGGCATTCTTGCACACCAAGGTACGTGGAAAAGAGATGGCAAAGCGAAAGAGAGTGAGAGGGAGAGACAGAGGCCTACGCATTTGTAGAAAGTGCAAGTCTCTTGAGGCAGCTGCGCGTGGTCTGTTGCGTGCTTTGTTTGCCACATGAGTGAGCAGAAAAAAGTCACTTTAGATGCGCGACTGCAACCGCCAAAAGCTGCATAACTTACAAATGAATATATATGTGTTTGTATATATATATATTTAATTACCTTTGCTGGCAATTTTGTGAAATATTTGCATACTTTCTAATGCGCATGCTGCACATTTATATGTTTTTTTTTTTATTTAGTTAGTTTTATTAATTTTTTTTTTTTAGCTACTTTTCTTTCTTTGGTTTTTGTTTCTTTTCGTGTCGCTTTTCGTGTCGGCACATTTTCCGCACACTTTCTTTGCTTGAATTTGATTTTAATTGTGTGTGCAGACAGGCAGGCAGGCAGGCAGTCAAATGGAATCCATAGATGTAGCCACCAAGTGCATGCACTCTCTCCCTCTCGCTCCCTCGCTCTTTCTCTCTATTTCGCTTTTACTTGCCCGCAGCTTAGCGTGCGACATAGTTTCGCTTGGGGGTCTAGCTTCTAGTACGTGTCTCTTGCTGTAAGACTAATCTAATTAGAAACAATGGCGCTTTTAATGCACATTAAATGCATGTAATTTGTACCAATTGCAACAACAACAACAACAAATAATAATAACAGCAGCAGCAGCAACAACAACAACAATGACACCGCGCACACGTCTGTGTCTTAGGCACTTTGTTTGACATAGTGAAAGTTGTTGATTTTTATTGTATTTTGTATATACCCTGTAGTCATTCGAATGTGTAAGCTGAGCTGCTATAAAGTTATTAAATTAAATTGATCACGATCAGGTTTATTGCATTTGCTGCTGGTTGCTAAGCACACACAAAGGCCTCTCTTTGTGGTTCTCATATTAATTTAATACACGTTGTTTGGTAATTGAAAGCAAAGCTTAAACTCTCTTCCGCTTTAATTATATTTAATATTAACCTTAATGCCACCTTCTTTTACCCAGTTTTTCTAGCTCTCACATTAGTCTTTGAGAGAGAAAGATATAGATATTAATATAAGCGCTGCTCTCATTTCTCTCTCTAACTTCCTCACTTTCGCTCACTTTTTTTTTCACTCTCACATACTTTCTCTAAGCTTTGAGTGCAGGATATCTCACGGTCATGCATTCCCTATTATATCGCTTCTGTTTGTTTTGGGGCTTGTCTTTTGGATTTTGTGACATCGGCATTTATTGCATTTTAATTGGTTTTTCAGCTTGAAGAAGCTCGAAAGCAAAAAGTAAAACGACATTTAACGCACAGCTGAGCGAGCATTTAGTTAAGGATCTTATGTGGCTGGCACACACACACACACACACAAATACTATTCCAAAGACCCGCCGCCAATGGAGCGTAGAATCGGTCAAATAAATTCTTTCAACTTCAGTTCCAACTTGCTTAGCCATTAATCAACTTTTTAAAAAGCGACTAAAAGCTGAGTTTTCTTCGTTTTTTTTTTTTTTGTTGTTCGTATTTAATTTTATGTATGCGATAAAGATCAGTCGTAACTTATGCTTTCTTCGCCTATTTCTATTATCTCTGCCTACCTGTTCACGCCATGACCTACTATATATATAAATATATATACAAATGAACCTGAGACAGAGGTCAAACACCTTCGCTCTGATAATGCGTGACTTGTGGGCCACACAAAAGAGCAGCTCAAGTTTTTTTTCGCTTTTGGTTCACTTGTTGGCAGCTTTGTGAAACGCGTAACTCGAGACGTGCAGACCTCCCGCCTTGCCTGCATTGCCCCTACCTGTAATAGAATGCTAATGCAATTGTATATCATTTCTCTCTAACAATAACAACAACAACAACAACAAATCGACAATAGGTACGCTTGGAGTCCATTGGTGCTGAGGACATTGTCGATGGCAATCCCAGATTGATCTTGGGTCTCATTTGGACCATCATTTTGCGTTTCCAAATTCAGGAAATTGTCATCGATGTTGTAAGTTGAATGAACAAGGTATTCATGAATAAATATAATAGTGAAATATCTATTTAGGATGAGGAAAACGAATCCAGTGAGAAACGTTCAGCCAAAGATGCGCTTTTATTGTGGTGTCAACGTAAGACACATGGTTATCCAGGCGTTAATATACAGGACTTTACATCTTCATGGCGTTCCGGTTTGGGTTTCAATGCGCTCATTCACTCGCATCGACCCGATCTGTTCGAGTATAGCACCATTGTCAATTCAAAGAATTCCAATTTGGATAATTTGAATCATGCATTCGATACGGCCGCCAACGAATTGGGCATACCAAGGTAAATTAGGCTATATAGAAATATTACTATTACTTATTACTTATGTCTGCGTTTTTCTGTTAGTCTGCTCGATGCGGAGGATATTGATTCAGCGCGACCGGATGAGAAATCGATCTTGACCTATGTTGCCTCATACTATCACACGTTTGCGCGCATGAAGAACGAACAGAAGAGCGGCAAGCGTATAGCCAATGTAAGTAGACAGAGAAGACACACCTCGAAATGGGTACTGGGTCTGGGGTCTGGGGTTTGGTTGACACTCAGGGTCGGGGGCAAAAAAAAAACTCTTTGCATGGGTGCTGCAGCGTAACGTGCAAGCCAATCTGGTTAACGCTCTACTTGGCATCCGATCGGGTTGGGTCTAGAAAGTTGTTTAACCGCTCTCTTTGCTACCTTCTTCATCATATTCAGATTGTGGGCCAGCTAATGGATGCCGATCGCAAGAAGATGCACTATGAACGCCTGACCACAAATCTGCTCAGCTGGATAAAACAAAGAACAATGGAGCTGGAGCAGCGTAATTTGCCAAACTCATTGGAGGGCATACAGCGTGAATTGTTGGCCTTTAAGGAATATCGCACCATTGAAAAGCCACCCAAGTGAGTAGACTCAAAGGGCTAACTATTCTAGATACCATTTCTAAACTATATCCATATCCATGTTACCAGATACAAGGAACGCAGCGAGATTGAGGCTTTGTACTTTACGATTAACACACTGCTGAAGGCTCTGAATCAGCCACCCTATAATCCACAAGACGGGCAGCTGGTCAATGACATCGAGAAGGCCTGGCAGATACTGGAGTATGCCGAGCACAATCGCGAGGTAGCCCTGCGTGAGGAGTTGCTGCGTCAAGAGAAGCTGGAACAGCTCAACTACAAATTCGAAAAGAAATCCGTGCTGCGTGAAGGTTATCTGAAGGAAATGATACAAGTGCTGTCGGATCCGCGTTATTTGCGTCAAGTGGATGCCACGTTGAAGAAACATGAGGCCATCTCTGCTGATATTTTGGCACGTGTTGAACGCTTTAACGATCTAACGGCCATGGCCGATGAATTGGAGAAGGAGAACTATCACGGCAAGGAGCGTGTGAAGCGTCGTGAGCAGGAGGTCATGGACAAATGGCGCAAACTGCTGGAGCTGCTCGAGAATCAACGATTGAACCTTTCTCAAATGAGCAATCTGATGAATCTGCTGCGTGAGATCGCCAGCACGACGGAATCAGTGCGTGAGCTGCAGCAGCATTTCGGCTCTGAAGATGTGGGTCCACATCTGTTGGGCGTCGAGGAGCTGCTGCAAGCCCATTCGCTGCAGGAGCTGCAGGTGAACACTTATGGTGAGACGCTCAAGCGCTTCAATCGTCAAGCCTTGCCCTACAAGAACTCCGAGCATAAGGATGCCGCTCTATTAGCTCAGCGGCTGGGTCAGCTGGAGGAAGCTTATGCCGAGCTGTTGAAGCTATCAGCACAGCGTCGTGCGCGTCTCGAGGAGGCGCGTAACTTCCATCACTTCATGGAGGACTATGACAATGAGGAGAGCTGGCTGGTGGACAAACAACGTATCTGCAAAACCGGCATTACGGCTAAGGACTTGCGTGCTGTGCTCTCGCTGCAGCAGAAACATAAAGCGCTAGAGGATGAGATCAAATCACGCAAGCCCAAATCCTCGCAAATGTCGGATGCAGGCAAGCGTCTCATTGGCGAGCAGCATCCCCGTGCAAGTGAGATTAAGAGCCGCATCGATTCCCTGGCGGAGCATTGGCAGGCTCTCGAATCGCTTGTGGAGCTGCGACGTCGTCAGCTTGAAGATGCCGCCGAAGCCTATCAATTCTATACGGATGCCAACGAGGCTGAGTCCTGGCTGAATGAGAAAATGGCGCTGGTTAATTCCAGGGATTATGGCAACGATGAACCCTCAGCGCAGGCGCTGCTGCAGCGTCATCGTGATCTGCAGGGTGAGCTGAACGCCTATTCTGGCGATATCCTCAACCTAAACCAGCAGGCAGATAAACTGATCAAGGCTGGCATTTGCACATTGGAGTTGACAGCTGCGGAACCGGATTTGCCAGAAGTGGAGCAAGAGGAGTGGGTCAATGAGACGCGTCTAGTACCCAAGGAAGTTTGGGAAGATGAATGGGTTGAGAAACTGGAGCACAAGAAGGTAACCGAAACCAAAATGCTGCCACATGTGCGCTCGCTGTTCCCCTTCGAGGGCCAGGGCATGAAAATGGACAAGGGCGAGGTGATGCTGCTCAAGTCGAAGACCAACGATGATTGGTGGTGTGTGCGCAAGGATAATGGCCACGAGGGCTTCGTTCCGGCGAACTATGTGCGTGAAATCGAAGCACGTCCCGTGGCCTGCATTGTGCCCAAGGCGGAGAAGGTCAAGAGTCTGCAGAAGGTCAAAAAGACGATATTGGTACGACAAGTGGTGCCCGTGAAGCGCATACGTCCAGTGGTTGTGGCGCCCAAGCCTCTAGTACAGCGTCGCACCTCTAATCAAAGCATCAATGAGAATGCGGATAGCGTGGAGAAGCGCCAGCAACGCGTCAATGCCACCTACGATGAGCTGCAAGAGATGGCGCAGAAGCGTCATGCCCTTCTCGAAGACTCCATCCATTTGTTCGGATTTTATCGCGAATGCGATGACTTCGAGAAGTGGATGAAGGAGAAGGAGCGCATGATCAAGACGGACGATGCTGATGGCGTGGAAAATGCCAAACGCAAGTTTGAAAAGTTCATAACCGATCTGTCGGCCGCCTCAAAGCGCGTCGAGGAGATCGATGGCGCCGTCGACACCTTCCGTCGTCAGGGTCATTCGCAGCTGGACAAGATTATTGCACGTCAGCGTCAAATTCATCAAATCTGGCAGCGCTTGAATAATGCCAAGGCACAGCGCGAGAAGAGCCTGGAGGGTGCCTCCAGTGTGGAGCTATTCAATCGCACCTGCGACGAGGCCAAGGTCTGGATGAGCGAGAAGATGCTCCAATTAGACACAGCTGTCATTACGCCTGACCTCAAAACCGTCCAAGCCCTGCAGCGTCGCCATCAGAATCTTGAACGCGAACTGGCGCCCGTGGAGGACAAGGTCAATCGTGTCACCTACCTGGGCAATTCAGTGAAGAACGCCTATCCCGCTGAGCGTGACAATGTCAATGCTCGCCAACAGGAGGTTCAGGATATGTGGCAACAGGTACAACTGCGCGGCAGCGAGTTGCGAGCCCGCATCGAAAGCGAAGTCGGCCAACAGATCTTCAACAACAGCGCCAAGACCTTGCTAGCATGGATTGATTCCGTTAAGGATCAGCTGAATGCCGATGAGTCTGCGAGGGATGTGGAAACAGCAAATAATTTGCTGAAGAAGCACAACGATCTGGGCGATGATATCAAGGCACATGACAATGAGTTTGTCGAGGTTATCCAACTGGGTAAACAGCTCTCAGATGGCAAACCCAACATGGCAGAGACAGTGCAGCTAATCGAACGCCTGAAGGCCGAGCAGGATGCCATTCATCGTGGCTGGAGTGAGAAACAAAAGTGGCTTCTGCAGTGCGTCGAGCTGCAAATGTTCAATCGCGAAGCGGACAAGATCGATGCCACCACCAAGAGCCACGAAGCGTTCCTCGAGTACAACAATCTGGGCGTAAGTAAAGAGTTCTCAAATTGTTACGGCTATGAAATTAAATTTTCCTTACCTACAGTCCTCTTTGGATGAGGTGGAAGCCATACTCAAGCGTCATCTGGACTTTGAGAAGAGCCTAATGGCACAGGACAAGATACTAAAGGGCTTCTCAGACAATGCAGATAAACTAATTGCCAATGATCACTACGACGCCAAGTAGTAAGCGACTTCAATGTAATAATTGACATACGTATCCTATATATATTCTCTTCTTCGCCTCTTTTAGCATTTCCGATCGCCGTAATCAGGTGCTGGGCAAGCGCAAGGCAGTCAAGGATCGCGCTTTTGACCGCAAACGTTTGCTGCAAGCTTCCAAGGACTATCACAAGTTTGCCGCTGAAGCGGATGATCTGAAAGCCTGGCTGCAGGACAAGACCAAAATTGCTGGCGATGAAAGCTATCGCGATCTGAGCAATCTGCCACGCAAGCTACAGAAGCACAAGGCCTTTGAGCGTGAACTGCGCGCAAACGAGGGACAGCTGCGCAATGTAAACAAAGATGCCCAAGCCTTGATTCAGGCCGAGAATCGTGTTCCCGAAGTGGAACATCGAGTGGTCGATTTGAACAAGAAGTGGAAGGATCTGTTAGCACTCTCTGAGGACAAGGGTCGCAAACTGGAGCAGGCTGCCTCGCAGCGTGAGCACAATCGTGCCATCGAGGATGCCAAGAAGAAGGTGGATGAGCTGGATTTGGCACTCATGAGCAAGGATGTGGGCAACGATTTGCGCAGCTGCAAAGATCTGATCAACAAACAGCAAATGCTCGAATCAGAGATAACCATTTGGGATCAGAAGGTTGCGGAGCTGGTCTCCACGGGTGATGACATGGCCCACGAGGGTCACTTCAATGCCAAGAACATCGAGGACGAGACAAAGGAGCTGCAACAACGGTTCAAGGATCTACGCGATCCCACACAGAGACGTCGCGATAATCTGGAGGAGAGTCTGAATTTCCATAAATTTGTCTTTGAACTGGATGCTGAATTCCAATGGATCAATGATCATCTGCCTGCTGCGAAGTCAAACGAACTGGGCCACAATCTGCATCAAGCGCAATCGCTGTACAAGAAACACAAAAAACTGGAGGCCGAGATTAAGGGTCATCAGCCTATGATCAATAAGGCGCTGCTGGCGGGTCAAGCTCTTATTGCCCAAGAGCATCCAGAGCAACAGAACGTGGAGGGCTTGTGCAAGCAGCTGGAAGAGGCGTGGCAGGATCTCGATCTGCATTGCGGTGAACGTTCGCGCAAGCTTGAAATGTCTCTGAAAGCACAGCAATATCTGTTCGATGCCGGCGAGATTGAGTCCTGGTTGGGTGAACGCAACAATGCCCTGCGATCTACCGAATACGGTAGGGATCGCGATTCGGCTGCCAAGTTGCTGACCAAACACAAGACCATCGAACTGGAGTTGGACACATATTCGGGCATTGTCACCGAAATGGGACACACGTGTGCCGCCATGGTGGCTGCCCAGCATCCCGATAGCAAAGTGCTGGCAGCCAAACAGCAGCTAATCGAGAAAATGCTCAAATCTCTACACAAGTTGGCCTCACAGCGGCAGATGCGCCTAATGGAGAGTCTGTCCAAGCATGAATACTTCCTAGAGTCGGACGAGGTGGAGCAATGGATAAGGGAACAGGAGCAGACGGCATCTTCAGAGGACTACGGCCAGGACTTTGAGCATTTGCAGCTGCTGCAGAATAAATTTGATGATGTCAAGCATCGCGTTGAGGTAGGCGCTGATCGTGTCGATCAGTGTGAGCTGCTGGCCAGGAAACTCATCGATTCGGAGAGCTCCTATGCCAATGAGGTAGAAAAGAGACAGGAACAACTGAGGTAAGCGCACCATTTTATGATCAAAGTATTCACCTAATATACTTTCCATTTCTTTCCTTCAGAACGTCTTGGGAGAATCTCTTGAAGCTGCTCAAGCAACGCGAACAAAAACTGCATGCCGCTGGCGAAATTCATCGCTTCCATCGCGATGTTGCCGAGGCGCTTTTCCGCATACAGGACAAGAATGCCGCGCTTTCTTCCGAGCTGGGCAAGGACTTGAACTCGGCTTTAGCCCTTCTGCGCAAGCACGAAGGTTTCGAGAATGATCTGGTTGCACTGGAGGCTCAGCTGCAGATGCTGGTGGAGGATTCGGTGCGACTGCAGGCCAAATATCCTTCGAATGCTGCAGCCATTGCACAGCAACAGGATAAGGTCGTGGCTGCCTGGAATGATCTGAAGGAACGCTCAACGGCACGTGGTGATCGTTTGGCTGCCAGCTCCGATTTGCAAACGTTCCTCACAGATGTACGTGACATTGTGTCCTGGTCGGCGAATCTACGCGCCGCTCTGCAAGCTGAGGAGCATGTGAGTGATGCAGCAGGCGCCACAGCGCTCAAGATACAGCACGATGCGATCTATGGTGAGATTGAGGCACGTGAGGATAAATTCCGATATCTAAATGAGCTCAGCGATTCGATGGTCCAAACGGGACACTATGCGGCCGCCGATGTGGAGGAGAAGTGTGCGGCTATGCTGGATGAACGACAGAAGTTGCACGCAGCCTGGAACAAGAAGAAGATTATGCTGGAGCAGAAAATTGACTTGTTCTGCTTCTTGCGCGATGCCAAACAAATCGATAATTTATCCAGCACACAGCAAGCGGCACTCAGCAGTTCCGATTTCGGTCAAACTGTGGAGGACGTACAGAACCAGATCAAGAAACACGACGAGTTCGAGCGTGTCATTCAAACGCAAGAGGAAAAGGTAGCATTGCTCCAAGAACATGGACGCAAGCTTATCGAGCAGCGTCACTACGATAGCGCCAATATACAGACGATACTTCAAGGGGTTCTGGCGCGTCGCCAAAAGGTAAAGGACCTATGCGCCGTGCGACGTTACAAGCTGGAGGATGCTTTGCTCTATGCCAAGTTTGTGCGGGATTGTGCCGAAGCAGAGTCGTGGATCAATGAGAAGCAAAAGAAATTGGAAGCGGATGCGGCTAACTATGCCGAGGTCACCAATCTGGATGAGAAGATTAAGAAATTGCAAAAGCATCAGGCCTTCCAGGCCGAAGTGGCTGCCAATCAGGGCCGCATCAAGGAGATTCAGGACACGGGCGTCATACTGCTAAGCAAGCAGCACGAATCCTCACCAGAAATCAAGCAAGCCATTGAACGTGTGCTGGCCGCCTGGCAGGGTCTGCTCGCTGAGCTGGATCAGCGTGGACGCGGCCTAGAGGAGGCCCAAGACATATTGGAATTCAACAATCAGCTCGACAAGATCGAAGCATGGATACGCGACAAGGAAATGATGGTACAGGCCAGCGATACGGGTCGTGATCTTGAACACTGCAATGCACTGATGCGCAAACTGGACGACGTCGACTCGGACATGCGTGTGGATGATCAGCGCGTTAAGCATATTAATCTGTTGGCCGATAAGCTAATCAATCAGGCACAGCTGCCAGAGGATACGCAGAGTGTGGACAAGCGCAGGCGCGATTTCAATCACAATTGGCGCCAGCTTCAGGGTGCACTGAATGCCTATCGTGCACTCCTCGGAGGTGCCAATGAAATACATGTCTTCAATCGCGATGTGGACGATACGGCGGAACGTATTGCCGAGAAGGCGCTGGCCATGAGCTCTGCGGACACAGGCCGTGATCTGGCTGCTGTCGAAGCACTGATCCGTCGCGAGGAGGCGCTAGAGCGCGACATGTCTGCTGTGAAGCAAAAGATCGATGAGCATGAGACCGCTGCCGAATTTCTTATTCGCAAATACCCCGAACGTGGTGCACAGGTTATTGAGCGCAAGCTTAACGAGCTGCACAAGTCCTGGAGCAATCTGCAGGGCCTTTCTGTGAAACGGCAGACTGTGCTGAACGAAGCGTTTTTGGTGCACAAGTTTGTGTCGGATGTTAGGGAGTTGGAACTGTGGGTAAATGATATGGTTAAGAAAATGAATGCCACCCAGGCGCCGTCCACGATTAACGACTGCGAAACGCAGCTTGAGCTGCACCAGGAGCGCAAGGTGGAGATCGACGGACGTGATCTGGCTTTCGTGGCGCTGAAACAGCACGGCGAGCAGCTTATCGGACAGACCAATCAATCGGAGAATGTGAAGCAGTATCTGCGCGCCCTGGAGGAGTTGCATCAGACACTGCATGATGCGTGGAGTGAGCGGGCACGCGATCTCACCGAAGCCCATCAGTTGCAGCTGTTCAAGGCCCAGGTTGAACAGGTTGAGCTCTGGCTGGCCAACAAGGAGGCTTTCCTTAACAACGACGATCTAGGCGATTCCTACACAGCCGTCGAACGTTTGGTCAAGAAGCACGATGCCTTTGAGAAGCTGCTCGATGCAGATCATGTGGATGCCTTGCAAAAGTTCGCCAATAGCATACTGGAGGGTGACCCGAAGGATGGCGATTTGATAAGTGAGAAGTTGGCTTACGTGCTGCGACGCAAGAAGAAGTTGTTGGAGCAATCCGCCGAGCGTAAACATCGTCTTACGCAGTCATTGCAGCTGCAGGAGTTCCTCCGCAGTCTCTACGAGATCGATCGCTGGCTGGTGCAGAAGCTACAGGTGGCCTTGGATGAGAATTATCGCGAGCCAAGCAATTTACAGAGCAAAATTCAGAAGCACACGGCGTTCGATGCCGAACTACTGAGCAATACACCACGTGTGCAGGCTGTCATCAGTGAAGGTGAGCGTTTGATCAAGGGTGAGCACTTTGCCAAGGATGAGATCGCACAGCAGGTGCAACTGCTTGAGGGCGACTGGGCCAAGCTGAAGGCAGCGTCCAATGCCAAGAAGGAGAAGCTACACCAGGCACATGAAGCACTAGCCTTCAATCGCAGCGTCGATGAGTTCAACAACTGGATGGACGATGTGGAGATGCAGCTGTCTAGTGAGGACTATGGTAAGGATCTGGCCACGGTTAGCAATCTGCTGAAGAAGCACGAACGTCTCGAAGCCGATGTGGCGCATCATAACGAACTGTCCGATCAGCTGAAGATCAAAGACGAACAGTTCTTCCAGTTGGATCATTTCCTCAAGCACGACATTCACGAGCGTGCGATGGCCACCATCAAGCGCTACAATACGCTGCACGAACCAATTACCATAAGACGCGAGAACCTCGAGGATTCGCTCAGTCTACAGCAGTTCCTGCGCGATGCCGAAGATGAGCTACAATGGCTGGCCGAGAAGCAGCTAATTGCTGGATCCCAGGATCTGGGCAGCAGTCTGTTGGCCGTGCAGGGTCTGCAGAAGAAACACAATGCACTAGAAGCAGAGCTAACATCACAGGAACCGCTAATCCAGGCGCTACTGCAGCGCGGCCAGCAAATGATACGCGACAATCACTTTGCCAGCGAGCAGCTGCAATACAAATCGGAGCTGCTACAAAAGCAACTCGTCCAGCTCCGCGATTTGGCTGCAATTAGGCGCCTGCGTCTGCTGGACGCCGTAGAGAGTCAACTGTTCTATGTGGAGGCCAACGAGGCGGATGCCTGGATGCGCGAGAAGCGGCCCATTTTGACCAGCAGCGATTATGGACGCGATGAAATGTCCGTGCAGACGCATCAGAAGAAACTGGAGGTGTTGCAGCGCGAGCTGATCTCCTTCAAGCCTTCCATCGACAAGGTCAACAAGCTGGCCACGGGCCTCATCGAACGCAATCACTTTGACAGCGCCAATATACAGGAGAAGAACGGTGCCGTCACGCAACAATATGCTGAGCTACTACGTCTGGCCAAGGATCGTGAGCTGCGACTCACCGAGTGCAAGAAGCTCTTTGAATACGTGCGTGAGACGGAGGAGCTGCACGAATGGGTGGGCGATCAAATGACTGTCACAGCCAGCGAGGATTATGGCGAGGATGTGGAGCATGTAGAGCAGCTGATGCTAGCCTTTGAGTCATTTGTGTCCAACCTAAATGCCAATGAGGCGCGTGTTGAGGCCTGTTTGGAGCGCGGCGATCGTCTGATCCAGGAGAACAATCCCTATCGCAACTCCATTAAGGCTAAACGAGACGAAACGAAACAGTTGTGGGATGAGCTCAAGGACTTGGTGAATGCACGCCAAGATGCGCTTGCCGGAGCCAAACAGGTGCACGTCTATGATCGTGTCGCTGATGAAACGATTTCGCTGATCAACGAGAAGGATGCCTCGCTTATTTCTGAGGATTATGGCCAGGATTTGGAGAGCATCCAAGCTCTGGGACGCAAACATCAAGTATTTGAGGGCGAACTTGTGGCCATCAAGGAACAGGTCGATTCAGTGCTAGCCGAAGCAGTTAAGCTGGGTGAGATTTATCCCGATGCACGCGAACATATCGAAGTGAAGCGCGATGAGACAGTGGAAGCCTGGACGGATCTGAAGGAGAAGACAAATGCACGCAAGGGCAAACTGAACCAGGCTGAACAGCTGCAATCGTACTTCGATGAGTATCGCGATCTGATTGCCTGGATCAATGAGATGCTGGCCAAGATCACAGCGCCGGAGCTGGCCAACAGTGTGGCCGGCGCAGAGCTATTGCTGGCCAGTATTAAGGATCATCATGCCGAGATCCGTGCACGTGACGAAACCTTTGCCAACTTTACGGCCAACGGACAGAAGCTGATCAAGGAGAAGCACTTCCTCGCCCATGAGGTGGAGGATAAGATTAAGGTGCTGCAATCCCGTCATGAGCTGCTCGAGCAAACACTGCAGCAGCGTAAGGAGATTTATGAGCTTAATCTGGACACACAGCTGTTCCTCAAGGATGCCGAGATACTGGAGCAATGGATTAGCAGTCGCGAGCCACAGCTGAAGGATGCCAAGCTGGGTGACTCTATACCACAGGTGGAGGATTTGTTGCGGCGTCACGAGGACTTTGAGAAGACTGTGGCCGCACAGGAGGAGAAATTCCAGGCGATCAAGCGTATTACGCTCCTCGAACAGCGTTTCCGCAAGCAACTGGAGCACGAAAAGCTGGCCAAGTTGAAGGAGAAGGAGCGTCTAGAAAAGGAACGCCTTGAGCAGCTCAAGCAAAAGGAACTGCAACGTCTCAATGATGAGCGTCGACGTGCCGAAAAGCAACAGGAGCATCGCAACAATGCCGCTGCCCAAGAGAAGACGCCCATTTTCTCCGCGCCCATGGTGACAATTAGTGGCGGCAGCATCAACAGCAGCGCCAGTACACCAGGTAGTGCAACCCAGTCGCCAGCTATTTCACAAACACAGCTGCGTCCACCATTCCCAGATCAACATGTGGACGAGCATCTGAACCTGCAAAAGAGCAGCTCCAGCGGCATGTTCGGAGATCGTTTGAGACGTGGATCTGCCGATGCAAATGTGAAGCGTGCCGAGAGCATGAAAGTTCAGCCCAAGCAAGCGAAACGCACGCCATCCTTTACTACGCGTCGTCGTGCCCAGTCCTTCCGCAAAAACCAAAAGGGCGAGGGCTTCGATTTGCCACCCGTAGAGATTCAGGGCATGCTGGAACGCAAGCATGGACTGCAATCTGGAGGCAAGAAAGCGCCCGTGCGCTCCTGGAAGCAATTCCATACAGTACTCTGCGGCCAATTGGTTTGCTTCTTCAAGGACGAGAATGATTTCCTGCAGCAAAAGACGGCCACGGCCCCAGTAAATATATTGGGTGCCAAGTGCGAACGCGCCGATGACTACACAAAGAAGAAGTATGTGTTCCGCCTAAAGTTGCCCGATGGTTCGGAGTTCCTTTTCGAGGCACCATCACTGGACATTTTGAACGATTGGGTACGCAAGATATCCTTCCACGCTAGTCTGCCACCAAATCTACAGCTGTTGAGCTACGATGAATCGATGAAGGTGAGCATTTTACCCGCAATGTGTGCCTAGGTAATTGATTTATTGATTTGTCGTTTTGCATCTGCCACTTACAGCAACAATCGAACAGTTCGCCGGACATTAAGGTGAGCAGCAATATGGAATCGCCCGTTAGCTCGCGCAATTCCTCGCCAGACTCACAGCGTCGCTCCAGCAGTGGTCATACGTTAGACACAGCCACGCCTCAAATGGCCTTCCTGCAGCGACAAATGCAACAGCAACAGTTGCAACAGCAGCAGCAACAGCAACAGCAAATATCCCAGCCCAGTTCACCCTCAACAGCTTTCGATCAGAAGCCACCGATACCACCACGAGGAGCCCCGCCTGTGGCCACCCAACGTCAGAGCCAAGAGAATTTGGTAATGCTGCGTAATCGCCAAAGTTCCAGCAATGGTAAGTAATTCTATATGGTAACTATATAGTAGTTGACTAACAAATTATATCTTAGATCTTACCGATGGCCGAGCCGCCACGCTACCCGCCCAGAATGGCAATAGCAGAGATGACAGCGGCGTTCTAATACGTAGCAGCGAATCCAGACAGTCGGGTAAGTAGTCGAGGGGCTAGCCACCCACTGTAGTTAACACTGAAGTTAACTGCATTAAGCTATTTGTGTTTGTACCACACACAACACACACATGAACACACACACACAACCACATATACATCATTGTAAACAACGTGTACCTTTCCAAAAACTCGACGCGTATACATATATATTAGATAATCCGCCGCCATTGCCAACCACGATGCCGCCATTGGGCAGTAGTCATCCACATAGCCATCAATCTTCACATGCGGCGCAGGTGCAACAGCGCATCAATGCGTTCAATGCAGCAGCCAATCAGCAGCAGCAACAACCCGACTACTACAACAACAACATTATACGACAGCAGCAGCAGCAGCAGCAACACTTGGCATCCCCACAAAGGGTGCCCTCTGGACGTATCGATTCGACGCGCAAATTCATTGAGATGGAGGCGCATGCGCCTGGCAACAGCTACAGCCACAGCAGCAGCAACAACAACAACAACAACAACAACGGTCACAACAGCAGCAGCAGCAGCGCGACAAAACGAACGATTAACTACTCGAGCAGCAATGCGAGCAGCAATGGCAATGGTAATATTCACAGCTCAACAACAACTACGACAACGACAACAACAATACAACAACAACATGCGACAAGTAGCCGCACGGTTTGGCACTTAACGAGCTCCTCACCAACATCATCAACAAAATCATCATCGGGCTCCGTTGAGCATAATAACGCCATCAGTAATCCAAGCTATATGGGTCTACATTTAAATAACAATAACGACGGAATCGGTACACAAACAGAGTTATCCTAATATGATAAGGCTTGCCTCTATATATTTATATATATATTCTAGTTGTACTTGAATGCGAAGTGTAGCGGTTATTGGTACTTTAGCTCTCTTTCTTTCTCTTCTTCTTGTTTCTCTTTGATTTGCATGCCTAAAAATATAAAATTGTGAAGGTTCAACTGTGAAAGCGGTGAAAATAACGCGTCGATCCTATCTGCGCACGAGTTTGCAAAGTATACTTAAGTTACACACTCTCTCTCTCTCTCTTTATATATATATATATATTTATATCTGTTTACTATATATGCACACTCACACACTCTTTTATGTTAACAAATACGCTCTTTTAAGTTTGCATGCACATTTGCCCTCAGCTTTCTCTGTTCGCATTAGCTAATGATCTTCATCTTCGTGTCTTACGCACAGGTTGGGGCAATACGCGCTTTGAGAGCAACCGACCCGTTTCGCTGCAACCCGATTCGATAAGCTATACGCGCGCATCAGCGGAGAGTTCGAGCGAGAGCGAAGCTCAGTCCATTTCCTCCGTTTCGGGTGTGAAGGGCAGCAGCAAGAGCAAAGATGAGCGTCGCAGCGGTATGTTCCGCATCTTTGGTCGCAAGGGCGACAAGGAAAAGGAGAAGGAGAAGGATAAACGCCGTTCGAGTCAAACGCCGCCACAGTGAAGCAAAATTAAACATATAAATTCCAGCTAAGCTTAAACAAAATTTCATATTCGACAATTGCATTGGAAAGTTGATCGTCAATTGTTTTTGTATTTTTTATAGACATATATAAATGATATAATATTTAATACTTAACCCATATATTGCGGCATTGCAAACAAAATTTGAAACAAAACATATAAAAAAAAATAAAATAATTGTGCACTAAAAATTGTGTCGTGTAATGCTGAACGAAAAGTTTAAACAATTATAATATTAAACAGTCAATGTCTTAATTGCATTATAAAAGAATATGTAACTGTAAGTTTGTTCGTTGTATGCCTATGCTTAAATATAATTTTCGTAAAAACAAAATCAAAAAAGAAAGTAAACAAAACCAATAAAAATTATTATATTATATGTGAAACAAGTCGAAGATTTCAATTTATTTAACTGAGCTACGGTTATATCAATGAATTCATGTTTTATGAATGAAGTTCAGTGATTCACAATAGACATATGTTAAATATGTCTGCCTATTACACGCAGTTAAACTTAGCCCTGCATTCGCACTGTTATCGCCAAAAATTGAACAATAGATGGCGCTCGCAGAGCGATCTTCGAAAATCAAATTTTCATTCAGCAAATAGAAAATCTTAGTTTTGTAGCATTTTATATGCATTTTATTGCTGGCAAGTAAATCATCGCTTAACTCTAACATCTACGGTTAACATATATGCGTATAGATAAGATCGATATTATATGGAAAGGGCCCTTCCACCGATTTTGGATACTTTTCGTGTTTCCTTATTCTAAAAAAAATGCAACAAAAACAAAAATTCGTGGAGTCAACTATACAAATCCGGCTCTATAACGAGTTCGATCAGTTTTCTGCTTTAGCCATACTGCGAATAGAGATTTCCATGAGTCGATGTCGACTTGAATTGAACGAGATTTCCGTGCGTCTGCATCGGCTGCTGGTAGTAGGCGGCTTGATGATAGAGAGCAGGTGACGCGGGCTCATTTACCTGTATCTGATGATAGTTGGTGATGGGCTCATGCTCGACCACCTCGCGCACCGTCTGGAATGGATGATTGACCACAATGCGGCGCTTGTGGAATGTTTCGCTGGTGGCAGCCGCATCGGTGGGTGCCGCTGTGGCTGAGATGACGCGCTCATTGGGCTGCAGATGACGATTGAGATGGCCTGCGGCGCCATTCAGTGAGACATCCACATCCACAGGGGGCTGTGCGGGCGTGGGCGTGGCCTGTGTGGTGGCCACAACGGGTGCGGGTGCCTCTACCAAACGCTGGAATTGCTGCTGCTGCTGTTGGTACTGCTGCAAGCGGGAGGATCGCTCCTCTTGCTGCTCCTGCTGCTCCTGCTGCTGATCACAGTCCGGCTTAAGAGGCGTAATTGTTGCCGTGGCCACAATGGATTGATCGCGATCGTCCTGATGTGGTATTTGCAAATTAATTTGCGCCTTGGCAGCTGGCTTTGGCTGCTTCGTTGCCTCCACCAGACGGCCGCTGGACGACTCCAGCTCCGGATCGTAACGCATGCGTGAATATGGAGCACTGTACTCCAGCTCTTCGGCCAGTGGACTGCGCTGCCGTGACGACTGCTGGTAGAAGTTGCGTGGCGCAGCGGTGCGCACCGTTGACTTGGCATAAACCACAGTGGGTCCAGCATGGTTGCGCAAATAGGGCTTCAGCTCTGCCACACTTGCAGGCACCTCCTGCACCTCCGTAATACGGCGCTCCTTGAGCGCTGGCTGGCGACTGCGACCCAGGTAAATATTGTGCTGTGATGGTGGCAAATGAATCTTGTGCTCGTGCTTGATGATCTGCGGGCGTGGCGGTGCCTCCTCTAAGCGGGCTGGCTTGGCCTCCACATTGCCAGCATTGGCATTGGCCAGAAACTCGCCGCTGAAGTAATCGTCATTGCTGGGAGTCTGATATGAGGCACGATTGTAGTTATTGCGCTGATAGCTACGCTGCGGCGGGTAGCTAGCCTCGCTGCGTCCATACTCGTAGTCAGGCTGTTGCTCGGGCTCTACGCGTGTCAGCATCTTGGGTGTGAGATGCTTCTTATTGATCTGATATTGATTGCCATTGCCATCGCTCGAAGTAGCGCTAGAGCTGGAGCTGGAGCTGGGACTGGGGCTTGGCAAGCTCTGACGATTGCCATCGAGCACATCGCTGCCTTGTCCTGGCTGTAGTTGCAATTGCGCTTCGACATAGTCATCCTTGGGCGCCTGGTCGTAGCTGGGCATGGTCGTCACACTGGAGCCGATTGTAGTGCCAAGTGGCTGCTCCTTGGGTGTCGCCTCATAGGATGGCCTAAACTCATTGCCATTGTTGTTGTAGCTCTGCGTTTGCACCTGTCCATTGTTGTTGTAGGCGGAAGCCACTGCAGGATGTGGATGACCCAGAGGCAGCAACGTCTCACCTCTCGGTATCTTGGCCACGGGATGATCGAGCTCAACAACCAACGTGCCTGCTGGCTTAATGACCACACGCTCTTCGATGTCGTAGAATTCCTTTTGGATAGCTGGATGACGCACTTCGTACTTCTTGGCCTTCAGCGCCGGCTGCACAATCTGTATGGTCTTGGTGACAATGGGGCGTGGTGGTGCAGGCGCCGCATACCCTCGCTGTGGTGGCAGATAGCCACTTGACTGGTCAGCGTAGTCATCATAGCTAGAAGCGTCATCTACATTTGGTGGATACTGATCCTGATAATCCACCTGAGAATCGTCATAGCTGTAGCCGCCCTGGTCGTAGCTGGGTCGATTGTAGCTGTTGTCGAAGGAGGAAGGCTCGTAGGAAGGCTCAAAGTTGTTGCTAACAATCTTGACGTCATTGGGAGTTGAGGCAGGCGCAGGAGCTGGCGCTGCAACCGAGCTGGAGCTAGAGCTGGAGCTGGAGCTGGAGCTAACTGCGGGCGCAATGGAAGCAACTTGCACTGGAGCTGGCAGCGGTGCCTGTGGCTCATAGATGGGCTTGCTATCGGGCGCCTGCTCCACATTGGCGCTCTGACCTTGCTGAGCTACAGGCGCAACTACCTGACGTTCAAACATGCGCAACTGCTGGGATTTGCTGCCGCCGATGGAAACAGCATCGTCGTCAGCTAAGGAACTGGAACTGGAGCTGCTGCTGCTGCTGCTGCTTTGCGTATAGCGCTGAGGCGAAGGACTCGAGGATTCAAAGACCTGTAAGAGGTAAAACAATATGTTAGCGAGGCTTATACTGATGCTCCACATCTCTAACTCACAGTCTCCACGGAGGGTCCATGGCTATGATAGGACTGTATGTAACGCTCGAACTCCTGATTCTGGCGCATTTGCTGATTGCGTTGACGGAATTGTCCGCTGTGTGGCGGCTGCTGGTGCAGCGAGGGACGACGACTGTGCACACGACGACGTGGCTGGCGAGCATTGGGATTGACTGCAACAGCTTGAGCTGGCTGCAGACCTAAACCCTGACGTGCAGTGAGAGGTTGCTGCTGTGATTGCATTTGCTGCTGTGCCTGCGACTGCATCTGCTGCTGCTGCTGCTGCTGCTGGGACTGCTGTGACTGCTGTGACTGCTGCTGCTGCTGCGGACGCTCCTGCAATCTAGCAAAGCGTTGCTCCTGCTGCATTCTGTATGGACCCGCTTTCAGCTCTGCTGGCGCTTCTCCATCAATGAAGCTAACATCAGCCGGATTTGTGGCTGGTTGTTGGGCTATGGAGATGTTGACATGGGTCGCCGCATGGCTGGCGCCCACAAGCGCCAACAGCAGCACGAACAGCGCACGGCACATCATTCTAATCCGCTCAAGCACTCACTTAACAACACGACTCGCCTCGATTGGGTATTGGAAATGCGCAGCTGTCGAACGCGTCTCGTTGTTTGACAAACTGCGAGGCATGCGTCGCATATTTATACGCAAAGGGGAACGCTGACGCGAGCGCGATTCCGATGGCGATTGCGATAGCGATCGCTGGCCAATTTTACGAATGATCAGCTCGAGCATAAGCGTATCAGTGTCAATGCCAGTCAGGCCAAAACACCCTCCCTGTTTAGGGATATGCGATGCTTGCCCCAGTTACACAATTTAAGGCAACCAAAAGTGATGATGCACAGAGCACAGAGCAACCAGATTTTGTTTTGTTTTCGATTTGTGGCACGCGCATTTCAATTGCCAAAAAAAAAAAAACAGTGTAATGCAGCTTGCCGTAATTGGCGACGTGCAACATATTCGCTTAATTGTCGGAAGGTCAGAGCACAGGTCGCGCCAGCGCCTATGCGGCGTATGAGTGATGTGCTACCAAATAGTTAGCGATTTTCGATTTGAACTTGAAATTGCATTTTCTAAATGAGATTCAACGCCTCGCACTTTAATTGTATTTTGGAATTTGCGCTTCGATTTGGTTTTGCTTTGATTTCAAGCTACAAACATAAAAATTGATCGTGTGTGTGTTACACATACGCCCCGTGCGCTCAGTCAGGCGCTTTTGCGCAATTGCAGTTGGCGAAGAATTCGCAAGCAAGTCCATACGTAATGCTACAGATACATTTCAATAAAGGTTAATAGGTATGTGGGTGTCTCTCTCAGTGTCCAGCCATAAACCTAAGCAAAGTGAAGTCTTGAATGGCTAAACAAGACCAAAAAAACTGAATGGCTAACTACGAACAACGAACAATTTACAAATGAAGTGCGAACGAAGGTGCTGTTGCTTAGCTTCAATAATACCAACTTTACAGTAAAGACAAATGCTATATACACATATGTAACATATGCAGTAGGCGCTTAAAGAAGCAACTGCCTAGGCCAATACACAAACGCTGTGTGAGCTGCATTCCAAACGAGCTCTGTGTAAAATATGTAATGTATGTGTTTGTGAACTTGAAAGTTAGTGCTGTAAGGGCACTTGGTTTGAGCAGTCTATGAGTCTGTGTATTTATGCCAAAAGCAATGCACTTGCTCAGGGTCGAAAGTGTTGACAGTAGGGAGTCCTAGATAGTTACATTTTTATACCCAGAACCCATTGAAAATGGGAAATCAGCGTAAATTGGTTTTCTTTATAAGTGAATCAATTTGAAGAAGAAATCCACTTTAATTTATGGAAAATTCAACTATAGAAAATAAATTACTCAAGACATATTTATTTAACTCAGCATAGAGTTTAGTCGATTTGGGGATCCAATTCGAACTTCAAATGATTTTTAAGTCTAATATTATATATTTTTTAAATCAAAATTCTCACAATATATTTTTAAACACTCAGAAATGCTTAGGCTTTTTTCTATGACTTGCCTTTGCATTGATTAATTGATAAAAAATAAATAAAAATAGTTTTTAAATTAAGTTAAGTTAAGTTATTTTCTATAAAAGTTATGTCTTATATCATATCATATTAATTGAGTATATTATCAATAGGACCAAAACTTTTCCAAATTATAAGCAATTTAAAGGCATTCATATTTTCTATATTTTTTGAAAATTTAATTTTTTACATTTTATTTTTTAAATAATTTCAAAATAAATTTCATTAGATTCATGCATAACATTAGCAAATTTAAGTGCAAGAATATCTTGTTTATATATCATTCAATTTATATTTAAATATTCAAGCTCAAATGAAAATTTACCCATTCTCAAAATTTCTTGCCTAAATTCAAACTTTAAATCAAGCTTTCTAAATAAAAACTTTCCACACGCTGACTGAAAATAAACTAATATTAGGCTGTGCTTTGGCCCTAAGGCGAATATGCAAGCGAATTTGTATATAACTAAATACACTGATATAAATAATATAAAGTTTTGACTTTGAATTGTTTTGTAGATTGGGCCAAAAAGCATTTTCATGTTTCCTCACACTCTGCAGTGCAGCAAACGTCAGCAGCAGCAACAGCCACCAGCAACAACAACAGCAACTACTACAACCATTAACAAAAATTTCAGCTGTCAAAGGTCTAAAAATAGTTAAGCATAGAAATTAGTGCTTAAATTAAACTTGGCAAACGTAAATGAAGAGAAACTACGCACTTAGCAGCCTCTATATCCTCTATATCCTGTGTATCCTGTACGCTGTAAGGTACATCCTTGTATCCAGTATCGAGGCACACGTGGGTGCCGTGCGTATTGCATACATAAATAACAATTGAGCACACGACGTAGTTGGCAACGAGGACAATAATAAAAGCGAAGCGGAATACAAATATAGCGGAGACCAGGAGACTGAGAGACTGAGAGGCTGAGGCGAGATATTTAAATCAGCTGAACGTAGGCAGGCAGGTGGGCGATGGGTTGCCTGTTTACCACGCTTGCCACACCTGATTAAAATCTATTGACACCAAAACTGGAGCACACGGCAAATTCCAGCTAACAAGGGCTAAAATAAAAACAAAAGGGAAACGGAAACGGCTTCCCTCGGCTCCGCTAATGAAACCCAATTACAGATGAGGCGTTGCTAGCCGCGGCAAACGAAAACAGCTGCTATGAGTCGCTGGCGCAGCTGCCACTACACCTGTTAACGCTATTTGCATTTCGCCCCCTACTCCACCACCTACGCTAACCTGCAGAAGGACTTTATATAGTTTATTATTATTATGTACAAAGAAGGGAGGACGGAAAGACCCCTCTCTCACTTTCTCTCTCACTATCTCTCTCTCTGCCGCCATCCAGCTTGCCTCATCTTTCGTTTTATGTGTGCAAAGACATGCGCAAACAACACCCCCGCCCACCTGCGCCGACACTTGTCCGCCACCATCCAAACAGCCCATCCACTGGAGCAGCCCACTCTCTAGCAGCAGCAGCAGCAGCAGCTGCTTTAGAGTTGTATAAATAAGGCACAGCTAGGAGCAGCCAGCCTCAGTTGCTGGACAGTGTTGCTCGCGTATTCTCCTTGTTGTTGCCCATTTGCACAGCAGCAGCAGATAGGAAATTGTTATCCTGGCCACGTTACACAGCCGCAAACTGTTGCGAAAAGTCAGCAAAGCGGAAAAGTTGCAATTGAATAGCGGAAGTTAATTCGTTCCCATGTGCTTGCCCCATCACCGATCGCTGTAATTGCACAAAGTTTGGAGTATTCCACTTAAGTCGAGACCAGGTGAGAGAACTTATTTCATTTGACACCCACGACATGGGCAATACGAGCTTGAGTTTGTTTGCCCAGCTAGAGTAGGCTTTCAACATAAACAAATGGCCCAGACCTAAATGGGGCTGCTGCATGACTAGCCTGTATCATATTCTAGGCAGCTTTAATTATTGTCTAACAGGTAATTAAAATGTGCAAATTGTAAACAAAAAAAGTTTATTTATATTTATTGTAAGTGGAGTGAAAGAAAAACTCCATTAAATGAATAAATTAATTAATAGAACAGAAGTCGTTAGAGTTTCAAAATTGTTTCATTACTTGAGATACTTATTTAAATTTATGTTCATTTTTAAAAACATCCATTGACTGGATATTTCGTCAATAAATTTTTTTCGCAATTTTTTGGCGCTTTCCCTTTTAAAATTTTTTTATATATCATATAATTAAATAATTTTTTAGGTTTCTACTGTAGTAAAAATATCAGAAGTCAGTCTCCAACGAGTTTTGAGTGTCTGCTCATTGACCATTTATATTGTGTTAGTTATTTTTTTCTTACTTTTTTATAATTTTTTATATATATATATATTTTTTAAATGTAATTAAATATTTAAAAAAAATATAAAAAATATTTACTATAAACTTAAAACTGGCAACTCTTAAGCCTTAAAAAAAAAACAAATAAATAAATATTTACAAGCAGCTTGTAACTTACCATCTGAATAGAGTTGTTGCATGCGGTGTTTCCAGTCCACAGCACCTTTACAACACTGTCTAAGACAAGTGCAACGCGCTCCCCAATTTGAACGCTAACTAGTGTTGCAACTTTGAGCATTGAAACCAGAAAAAAATAATACTAATCAAGAAGAAGAGTAAAATAAATAAATATTGCATGACTTGCCTATCAATTGAGTATCATATGGCCAGTAAATAGTGGTTAAAAGCACAAACGAGCGGCACAGCGGCAGCGGCCGATAAAAAACATAGTATAGAACAAAAAAAAAGCAACAAAGAAAAGCCACCCCTAATTGTCGAAGCAGAGCAGAGTGCAGCTTTTCTAAGGGTTCGGCATTCAGTTGAACAGCAAACTTCGCAGCGGACGGTTCGCAGTTTCGGTTGCGTTTCCCCATTTTCTACAACAATTTTAGCAAACTTCTCTCACACTCACACACACACACACACACAGAGTCGACAGCGAGTGCACACACAGACAGCATATATCTAACAGTAAATGTGTGCGTGTGCGTGTTGAGTGTTGAGTGTGTGCGTGTTTTTCTCGACATTGTCGACGTTCTCCTCAAACCAAACAGTAAAAAGTAAAAATAAGAAGAAGAAGAAGAAGCAAGTGCAAACATGGCCGAAAATTGCCCAAAATGCAAGAAATCAATCAACTCAAAGGATGCAATTATCATCTGCAATTCGGATGACTGTCTGAAGAAGTTCCATCGCACGTGCGTCAATATTGACGATGCGATGTACGATTTGATACAAAAGAACCCGATGATATCGTTCAACTGTGATGAGTGCAAAAATCAATCGTCGAAGGCATTGTCCGCCAAGCTGCACACCATCGAGGAGAAGGTGAACAAGGTGTGCAACGGCGTCAATCAGATCCAGGGACGCATGTACCAGCAGTATTTCCAATTTGGCAATCAGCCCGTGAACAATCTCGATGGCAAAAAGCATCAGCAGCAGAACAATCTAATTGTCGTTGGCAACAATTGCAATTCGGATCGATTGCAGGTCGTCTGCGACTACGGTCGCTGGGTGCAGGTGGGCAAGTTTGCGACAAACACCAGTGAGGATGACATTATCGAGCATTTGGCCGAGGAGCTGAAAATCAATAAGAATCTAGTGAAATGCACCAAGCTGGTGAAGAACGATGCCAATCTGTCGCAATTGTCATATTGCAAATTCAAAATATCCATACCGGACTATCGTTTCAATGAGCTGTTCAACGAGGCTATTTGGCCGAGTGGTGTTATGGTTAGCCCCTTCACGCCACGCTCTCAGCTGAATCAGAATCGCATATAAAACGAGAGGAGAGAGCGGCAACCTGAGCGAGCGAGACAGAGTGAGCGTGAGAGCGCGCCTGCGCATCAATAAACAAGGTGGTGGTGCAATGCACTAAGAGAACGGAACGAGAGCGAGAGCGAGAGCGAGAGAGAGGATGGGGGTTGCTTGCCGGTCGTATAACAACAATAACAACAACAACAGTTTTTTCATTCGAGAATCTTTTTTGCCGGTTTGGCTCACAATTGTATGCAAAAATTTTTGGACAACTCGACTTGGACTTTGTCTAACAACTTTCAAAGCTTACTCATAACTAAAACAAAAAAACAAAAAATACTTAACGAATTAACTTTGAAAATGCATTTTAAAATGTTTTAGCGTTGCGTCAAAAATTATCTAATGTAAACCAAAAAAAATAATATTTTAATGGCAAACAAAAATGAAAGAAGACGAAACACAGCGAGAGTTTAACAATTAAATGTGCAGTCAGAGTCAAATATTAGTCAGCGTAAATATTTCAAAAAAGAAAAGAAAATAAAATAAAATATAAATATAAACATATTTAAGCTACTACAGCAAGGCACCAAAACAAAAACCAAAGTTTTGTTTTTAACAATGAATTTAATACTTTATTTAGTTTTCAAAATTACAATTTTTTTAATGTATTTTCCCGACTTTAACTTTAAATACCAAAGCATTAGCTTTTAAAACCACAAAAACAAAAAAAAACGTAAAAACTTAAAACTATATTCAGCTATAATTGTATTCGTATGCGTAGTTTAAAGCATTTTCAAAGCTTGTTCTCAAAAAATTCTAGAAATTTTGCGAACCTATTTAAAACCAAAATTACACATATATTTTCAACTATATTCCCAACTATATATGAAGTGTGACAAATAGAGAAATCTTTTCAAAAGGGTTCGAGAAAAAACAACGCGCAGCTGGGCAAAATTTGTTGCAATAAAAACTCACGTCAAGAATATAGAGAGAGATGTAATAATATATTATATACACATATATATATATTTCGTAATTGATGTATTTTTTTGTACGCGAAACACAACGTTTCGCCAACACGAACAACAATTGTCAATGAACGCAGCTTCGGATGTTAAAGTTTGAATATGGACAAATGGGGGGGATGGGATGCGTCCGAGGTGTGCTTCATAACATACATAAACATATAAAAAAAGACAGCAAACGTAGATTTCTATTTACGGAAGAGAAATAAAACAAAACAAAACATATATTATATATTTAGTATACAAACAATATGCATGCATGTATTTATGTCAAACTTTTTCAATAAATTCTACAAAAAAAAATAATTTTTAAAGAATTTATTATGGGTGCAAGGGCAATAAGAGAGTAGTTTATAAAATATATTTAAATGCATTTAATTAAAAAAAATATATTTTTTATTTAATTTCCTAAAAATTGTTCAAATATTTATCAAACTACTTTTATGTATGGCAAAAATCAAATTAAGCTTATTGCAAATTATAAGCCAAAATGCACATTTAATTAGTTTATTCCAACAAAAACTTACTCTCTTTGAATACTTTAAAGCTTTGTTTATAGCTCATCTGGCTCTTCCTTTAAGCTGCCTTCTATCCACGCACTATGACTAATTCGAAACGCAAACAGCCTACAAAGCCAAATGCAACAGATGCCAACATCGAAGACCACAAATCCACGGCTGTAGTTGATGAGCCGCCCAAGTCGAGCCCAGAGTTGGCAGCGACGACGTCCACGCCTACTGCTCAGTTTTTCAAGCTTTGCTTTGGACATGAGCTGCACAATTTTGCTAACTTGAAAAGTTTTAGCAGCTGGCTGCAACGACCGGTAGATGGCGCTGCCTTGGGTGTATTCCGGATGCTCTACGGCGCGGCTATGTTGATCGATATTGCAGAGGAGCGAGGTGGCGGACAGCTGGACGTGCGTTTTGGCGAGCCTCATCACTGTCACTTTCCACTGTTCAATGGAATAAACGCTCTGGCTTATCCGCTGATGGGCTGCGTCTATCTGGCGATGTGGCTGGGCGCAATAGGCATTATGCTTGGATATCGCTTTCGCTGCAGCTGCTTGACATTTGTGACGAGCTACTGGTACATCTTCTTGCTGGACAAGCCGGCGTGGAATAATCACAGCTATCTATTTGGCTTGGTGGGCACATTGCTGCTGTTCACGAGTGCGAATAGCTATTGGTGGGTTTTCTTTATATACATAAATCTATATCGCATTCCAAAACCTTATTTGTCATTCTCTGACCTTTCAGCTCGTTGGACAGTTGGCTGCATCCAGAGCTACGCCGAGCGGTGCCCTATTGGAATTACTTTCTCATCAAGTTTCAGTTCTTTGTGCTCTACATGTACGCTGGCTTGAAGAAGTTCTCGTTCGAGTGGCTCTCCGGCTATGCGATGTCGAGTCTTAGTCAGCATTGGGTCTTTGCGCCATTTCGTCAGCTCTTGGATGGGGAGCTCATCGATCTGCTGATTATCCATTGGTTCACGGCCTTCTTTGATCTGTCTATAGCGTTCTTTATGACGTGTGAGAAGACGCGTTTGTTGGTGACTCCATTTATGCTCAGTTTTCATTTGATGAACTCGCGTCTATTTTCCATAGGTGAGTGGTTTGGGCCTAGCTGACTTAATCTCTATTATATGCATATATATTTCTGCTTTGTAGGCATGTTTCCTTGGGTTTGCTTGGCGGAGGTGCCGCTCTTCTTCAGCTTCGACTGGCCCAGACGTGTGCGCTGCCAGGCTAAGCCTGGCTCGCCAGCATTTGAAGAGCAGAGTAAAAGGCCAATTCAATCCTCACCTGGCTTCATGGCTCAGCTGCGCAGTTGCGTAATCCTTTTTTACTGCGCCCTGCAGCTCTTCTTGCCCTACTCACACTTCATTACCAAGGGCTACAACAACTGGACGAATGGTCTATATGGCTACTCGTGGGACATGATGGTGCACTCGTATGATACGGTATTGACATCCATCAAGGTGGTTGACAATAACAATCAGCAGGTGCATCATCTCAATCCCTATGCCTTCACCGAATACGATCGCTGGACCAAATATGCCGACATGGCGGTGCAGTACGCCAAGTGCATCGAGAAGAACATTCACGACGATATGGACAAAAATCCGGAAAACAGTCCGCTGAGCAGTAGAAACATTTCCATATACTTTGATATCTGGTGCGCCATGAATGGACGTTTCCAGCAGCGAACCTTTGATCCACGAGTGGATCTGCTCAAAGCGCCCTGGTCACCCTTTGAACGAACTTCCTGGTCGCTGCCTCTACTCACAGAGCTTAATCATATGCGACCGAAATTGAAGACGATTACCAACGAGGTGCTCGCCTGGAATAACTATTCGGATGTTATATTCGTGGCCGATTTTCCTGGTCTAACACTGAGCAACTTCATCGCACCGGCTCTATTCAACTGCAGCCTCACGATCCTTGAGGGCAATGTACGCTACAAGAGCGCCAAGGATGGCGAGGCGTATTTCCTGACTGCCGGCAAGAGCATCAGCCTGGAGAGCAATGCCACCCACTATGTGACCACCATTGGCCAGAAGCCCGCCTCCTATTTATATACCTACGTAAACAAGACAATGCTCGATCAGGATATTGTAATAGACAACGAGGGTCAAACCAGCGAACGACCTTTGTTGCCGTTGTGGAACGAGTTCAAGCAACGCATCGCCAATTACCAACAGTTCCTTAAACATTTAGCCAATTGTTTACTCTTTTTAATATACGATGTGCCCATACCCATTTCCATACGAGAGAGAGATTAAGAATGAAGCAGTCGAGACTATATATTCCACTTGCTACAACAAAAGTATTTTCTTGCCTGAGTCCCTAAGTGTCACATAATTTGTGCGTGATAAAACTGATAATAAATGTTTAATGTTATACCTCTGACAGCAAGATTTTTAAACTTAATAGGTATTCAAAGAATTTTTGCTAGCTTGAAAAGCAACTTTTCGAAGTGTCGGCTAAAACGTTACACAATTAAAATATAACACAAATTTGCATATTATATATAAATGTATGTATGTATGTATGTATATATATCTTTCTATGTAAAACTGTATTTACAAACGGGACACAATATTTCTTTCAGCCTAAAAATTAACAAAAACTGTCTACTATAAATTTTGTGGCCTTGTCAAGTAACTAAGCTCACTCTTAAAACTAGAACAAATAACGAAGTCGGCCAGCATCTGACTACACAGCAGCCGCTGAGATGCGTTGCCGACGATTGGGATCGAATTGTTGGGTTTGTGTTTCCCACAGGCGCGCATAGAGGCCATTCTGTTTGAGCAACTCCATATGGGTGCCACGCTCGCCGACATGTCCATTCTCCAGCACCAGAATCTCATCAGCATCCTTTATCGTCGACAAGCGATGGGCAATGCAGATGCTGGTGCGGCCGGTGGTAGCGCGTGAAAGCGCCTTCAATATGTTCTGTAACAGCAAAATATAATAATTAAATAGATCATTTAAGCTAAATTTGATAAGGCCACTTACATGCTCCGTAATAGAGTCTAAGCTGCTAGTAGCCTCGTCGAATATTAAAATGGGAGTATTTTTTAGAATTGCTCGCGCAATGGCCACACGTTGCTTTTCGCCTCCCGACAGCTTTAGACCCCGCTCGCCGACTTGTGTTCTGTACTGATTGGGCCAACTCATGATTGATTCATGTAGGTCGGCCATACGTGCAGCATTTTGCACATCCTCATGGGACTTGGTCAGATTGCCATAGTGTATGTTGTGTTCGATGGTGTTGTGGAAGAGAACCGAGTCCTGCGGCACCACAGCAATGCTGCGGCGCAAGCTGTCCAGTTCAACGGCGCTGATATCCTGGCCTCCGATCAAAATGCGACCCGAGTTTGGTTCAAAGAAACGGAAAAGCAATCGCACCATAGATGATTTACCGGAGCCAGAACCACCTACAATTGCAATATTTTTGCCGGCGGGTATGCTAAACGACAAATCCTTAAAAATTGCCTTGCCTGGCTCATACTCGAAGTTCACATTTTGGAACTCAATGGACGCATTGCTGTTGTCAACGTAGAGAGGCTGAGCATTAGGCGCCGTCTGTATGCCGCTGTCCACATTCATCAGCGTAAACATGGCCTGCATGTCGAGCAGCGCCTGCCGCACCTCACGATACACGCTGCCCAGAAAGCCCAATGGTATGGACAGCTGAAAGAGCAGACCATTCACCATGACCAGATCACCGACAGTCATGTTGCCCTGGGCAATCTCTTTGGCTGCCAGCACCATGATCAAACTAAGCGCACTGCTGAAGATCGCGTTCTGACCGAAATTGAGAAGAGCCAAACTTGAGCTGGTTTTCAAGCTGGCCGCCTCGTACTTTTTAAGCACCTCGTTGTAGCAGCCAGCCTCGTACTTTTCGTTGTTGAAATACTTTACAGTTTCGTAGTTGATCAGCGAGTCGACGGCTTTATTGCCAGCCTCGTTCTCGGCCTGATTCATGTAGACACGGAACCGCGTGCGCCACTGCGTTACGCTCAGTGTATACAAAGCATAGATGCCCACGCAGCCCATGCTAACGCTCGCAAAAGCTAAGCCGTACTTAAAGCCCAACAAGCTGGACACCAGTGTCAACTCAAAGATCGTAGGTACTATATTGAAGACCATGGCCGATAGCACAAAGTTAATGCCACGCGAGCCCCGATCAATTGTCTTAGACAACGCGCCCGTCTGCTTATTCAAGTGAAATGCCAAGTCCAGATTGTGCAGATGCAGAAACACATTGGTGGCTATTTTGCGTATGGAATGATGCGCCACCTTGGCAAACACAGCGTTGCGCAGCTCATTGAAGCCCGCAGCGCTGGCTCTGGCAATGCCATCTGTAAAAGGTAAAAGTCTTATAAATCATACGCTATTCAGACTTCGCGTACTTACAGCCCAATAGCATGGCAGTGGCTGTAGACAGCACAACGTCCGGCGCTGTGTCCATGTTCAGCGTTGTCAATGTATCCACAGCGCCCTTAAACAGAAATGGAACACAAACTGTCAGGAGCTTGGAGCCAGCCAGCAGACCCAATGAGATGCCCACGCTATTGTTAAAAACCAAATTAGGTAAGGTATTTAACTATTTATTTAATATATAAATATGTTTCATTTCAGACTTACCGCTTGCGTACGAGTGCATCGTCCTTTGGCCAGATGTAGGCCATCATCGCTCGAAGCATATCCTTGGATGTGACCTCAGGTGCATCCAGTTTACCAAGCGTTGACCCGCCATCGTTGCCGCCGCTGCCTATATGAACGTGACATAGTCTTGATTGTTGTTGTTGTTGTGGCAGTCGTTGTTGTTGTTGTAGCACTGCTGCTGATGCTGCTGCTGCTGCTGTGACTGCAACTGCATCGAATTGACTTTAATGCAGCTAAATCCAAACAGGCGCCAATACAACAAACGAACAGACAAACAAACAAACGAAGTGCATTTTTTTTGTGTTTGTTAACAACTTATTAGCTCAGGTAAAATAAAAATTAGTTAGTCAAAAACATAAATATCGAACAAATAGATAAATAAGCATGTGATTGGCCTAAGTGTAAGACTTTTTAGTTGAGCTACGCTAAAGCTGGGCGGAAATCATCAGCATTTGTCTGTTGAGGGATTGTTAAATACACTTTCTGCGAGGGTAGTAAGAACAATTGTTAATGCTTTTTTATATTTACATTATTCAGACTATCCTCGCATATCAAGTTATGTACAGCATGTTAGACTACACTTCATTCGGGCGGCAGCCAGACCTACCTTTTGTCTTCTTGGCAAAGACGCCCCCAAGCAGCTTGCTGCCTGGCGTGGGCGTAAATGGTGTTACCTTCTTGTTCGATTTGATAAAATTATTGTGTGATTCATCGTTCGATCTAGCGAGCGTGGAATACAGCTGCAATGCAAAGGAAAACTTTAATCCAAGTGACAGAGATTTTAAAAAAATATATGTATATAAAACTGTACTTTATTGTTGAAAAACAGAATTAGAATTAGCCTTAACTATGCGCCTGCTCAAAGTCGCGCAGGTAACGTAGACATTCTATCAGGTAGCCAAGTGCAACAGTTCCGCTCTGCGTGAGCTGTGATAGTCGCCTCAGGGCATCTACAAATCCTTGATACTCCTTCATTTTATAAGTCAGCAAGTAGCTAAGCTCCGGCTGCACATCATTAAATTGTTCAACATCTCCGAAAGCAATTTGATTGAGCACATTGGGAAAATACGCCTGTTGCTTGAAGATCAGGTGGAGCACGACGCGCAAATTGTGCGAGCAGCCATCCTGGATGTGCACAAACATCTGATCCATTAGATTATGCTCCCTGATAAACTTAAAGATATTGCGATGATAGTTCTGCGTTGCCAGCTCTTTGTTATGTACGATTAGCTGCTCAATGTCCTGCAACGAGAATTCGAAGTAGTCGTGCGCATTGCGCTCCAAATAAAAGCCATATTCGGTGATTAGCTTCAAATTGGGCAAGGCTCCGTAGCTGATGTAGAGCTGCTCATATGGCTTAAGTACGGTCTTTGAAGAGGCTTCCAGAGTAAGGACATACTCTTGGCTTTTACTGTAGAGCACCGCTGTGGTCTGCACGCTATCAGAGTGATTGAATAGATCCAGGAATGGCGCCAGAGCTAAGTTTGAGCTGCCATTGATCAACAATTGGAAATGGCTTTTGGTCTGTTTCAGTTGCCTTGCATCAATGTAGACACTGCGTGTGTTGACCGTGAAGTAGGCTCTTTTATATGCCGCCAAAGTCCAAATGTCCTCGCAGTAGCGTTGACCACAGCACTTGCAATGCTGTTCACCCACTAGAGCCTTTAGCAACTGATAATATTCGCGTATCTGACGATTTTGCGCCACTGTGCGTTCAAGCAATGCTTCGGGCAGGCACTGTAGCTCGTTGATAGCACAAAAGTAGGGTGTCGTATAGCTGCTGGGTAGAGTATCCAAGTAGGCGGACCAAGGAGAATCGTTTGTAGACTCATACAGATGACCCTGATACAGTAGATAGCAGGCAACCAGCGCTTGAAAGGATATGCGTGCATCCTTATCAAACAAATCTCTATTGAAGAGTTGCTTAAAGCCTTCATCCGCTTCCAGTGTGGCTATGCTTATTAAGCAGCTGGCAGGCAGACGTATAAGTTCATCACCTGCTTGGAAACTTTTACTCTTGGAGCACAAGCCACGTCCTGTTTGTGCGAAATTCAAAGCTGAGAGACGAGTTTCATTTCGCCAGCCCAGTGCATGAAGTTGGCCATAGAGCACGTGCAGGGCATTATCAGGTGGTGTAGTTGTTGTTGTTTGAGAGTTGCGACGTTGTCTTTGCCGCTGTGTGCGTCCCATTCTATGTGTGTGTGCTGTTTTGGCGCCCGTTTATTTGTTTTTTTTTTTTTAATGTAGTATTTTGGTTTTGTTTTAGGCTTGCTGCAACGAAAGAAGCAAGTGCGTACGTTCGTAAAAGCATTAAAATAAAAGTTCAACTAATTTTTCTAAAAGGGGCCAAAACAACACACACGCTTACTGTTGCCTGACCTCTTTGCTTTTTCTTGTATAATTTTAGCCAATAATTTGCACATCATGCCTGCTAATCTTTATCACTAAGTAAGCTTATGAAATCGTAACCTAGCCGCAAATGGCCTTGAATTTGTGCTTGGTATTATTTGTACTCACCACATGCGTTGGATATCTGGTTTTGATTTGTTTGTGGCATGTAACGTGGAAGGTGTAGGTCAGTGTTTTCTTATTACTACACAATTTACTAAAGTATAGTAGTCCGGCCATTACTTCTATACGCAAAAACAAACACTAAATTCTGATACTGCGAAGCACAACTAAAAGTATCGATATATTACATGTTGCGATATTGCTAAGTGTGACCGGCTCGTCCAAAATAAGTGAGTAAAAATACTAAGAGTTAGTGTTAACGTAGACCGGCGAATGCCAAGAGGTTTTATTTATTCTAGAAAAGACTAAGAACCGGGCAATAATGTTTGGTTTAATTATTTCAGGTAGACTGGTGAGTAAATTTTAAATACTAATGAAAATAACTAAAACTCGAAATCCCCTATAGCCCCAAACAGATTTTGTAGCGGTTGATGAGAACAAGCTGCTGATAAACGTGCCCGACATCGATGCCGTCAATTATGTTGTTATTTTCTTAACTGGCATCTCACCCCTGCCGCTGGGCACCGCAGCGGCAATCTATTTTAGTTGGCCAGATGCAAATGCAGCGCCCACCTGGCAATATCTGGGGCACATCAATAACAACAAACCATCCGCGATCTTTAAAATAGCGCAACTAAAGAAAGGCCACGAGCTGGAGACACATTCAAATGGCATGGTTTTTGGTGCCCAGGAAATCTCGCACATAGCACAAATTGGCATTTCAATAGAGCCCGAATTGACGGTGACTCAACAAACGCCAGCAGTTGTAAGTACATATGGATTAGTTAGCTGGAAGTTCGTGCACTGCATTTTCCCGTTGTATACCTTAAATGCGGTGGCTAAAAGTAAAGCTTGGTTTGTTTATATGTGAGGAATTACATAGAAATTCACGTAAAACGCGCTAATACTTTTCTAGACAGCAATTTCATAAAAATCGCATGTGAAAAAGTGCAGAGAGTAGAGGTATAGAACGGACAAGTGTGGCACGAATTTCTAGTTTAAGTATGCACATCAATATTTACACACATTTTTCTTTTACAGTCCAGCGCCAATGATAATAAACAGTTTGGACAGCGCATGTTAGAGAACTTTTTCAATTATGCGTCCAGTTTTTGTGTGGGCGTACCTGAGATTCCACCTGCCACAAGTGAAACCTTCGTGCCTTTCTCCGTTGTACAGAATTGGTATACTAACTTTCAACGGCGCATGGAACAAAATCCGAATTATTGGAAACAATGTTAAACAAAAAGGATTAATTGTCGCAAAGTTGAAAATATATATATATATACGAACGTTGCACTGATTCAAAATTATTTTAGGTTAAGTAATAAATAAGTAAAGATATTTTTGTTCGTAAGAGTTCCAAGCTACCAATAATCTTCTGATGAAGATTCATCTGTGCTTCTTTTCGATGGTTTTGCCTGCTTCTTGTCACTTTTCGCTCGCATGGGATCTTTGGCAGACTTACTATGCTTTTGCTTACGCGTCTGTGACCGCTTCCCATCGGGCATTATTTCTTTCTGTGCTAACTTTTCGTTTTGACTTGAAGCATTTGGCTTTTTAGCTTTTAACTGAGGTTGTCCTGCTGGTTCACTTGGAGTAGATTTACGTTGTGGCATTGCCGATGATTCTGGCTTTTTTGAGGCTGCTGGCTTTGTTGAGGCTGCTGGCGGTGTTGGGGCTGCTGGCGGTGTTGATGGCGATGGATCCTTTTCTGGAGATGGAGCTTCTTTTGAAGATGTCTTATCTGAGTTATTTTGCGGCTTAGGCTTAGCCGGTGTGTCTGAATTCGATCCCTTAGGATCACTGTCCTCCTTGTTAGTTTTTGACTTAGCCGGTGTGTCTGAATTGTCTCCCTTAGGATCATTATCATTCTTTTTTGTTTTTAGCAGCTTTGCTTTGGACAAGCTATCTTCAGCTTCTTTTAGTGACTTCGCTTTCGCCGATTTCATCTTCTCCTCCATACGGCATTTGTTCGCTTCAGTTAGGTTGCCAAAGATACTTGTAATAAGATCATTATATTCGGCTTTATGATGCGCTTTGATACCCGTGGCCGAAGCCGAATTTGGTGGGCGTCCACGATAAAGGAAGCAGCGTCTGCGAATTAATTAAATGATTTTCAATTATGTTAAAGGGATCAGAAAGAAATTAAAGCAATTTTGTAGTCTTAGCTATTTATGTTTCGCCTGCTGGCAATTTTGGCAAGCGTTTGTGACATATGTGTGCATACATATGTATATGCACATAAATATATAAATATATATATTTGAACAATGGGCTTGTGGCGCTATTTGGCACGAGTGGTTTTTTAATTTCTACTCTTTACCTATCTTTCTTTTTTGTGGCCTGCTAAAATCAATTTGGCAAGGCGACACATTTATATAGTCTATATAATTGAACGTGTATACTACATATATACCATACACATACATATGTGTACGTATAAATTACAGTTGCAGACACAATGAATTTTTGCAATTCTAAACCTTTTAGATAGGGCCTTACAGGTGTATACTTGATTGTTAATTTAAATATGTTGACAATTTTTTTTGTAAACATATATTCAAATGGATATTACTATAATTACTATAAGACTTAACTGCTACAATATAAAACTTCTTGCAGTGTATTCGAAATTCGATTTTGTTTACACATTTTACACAACTTATTGGCAATTATATGTGTGTAGAGAGCGCAGCATTGATTTAGCATTTGCAACAATAAAAGCATTTGTCTTGCCATTTGCGTGTTGCTAAAAGATGCCCCATTTTGTTAGTTCGGCTTGCAACCTAGTGTTGAAAGCAGCAACAATTTGCAGCGCGTGTTTGATGAAATAAAAAAAATTTGTGAATTAAAATTAAAATTAAAACGCCTCTAAAATAGGTCAGCAACAGAGCAATCAGGTTAAAAACGCGCGGGCGTTGTCAATCGACAAATCAGAGCAAGGGGAGCCACAGCCACTGGCGCCGACAACGGCTAATTATAAACATAATTCGCAAATATTGTCAAAGCATAGGGCTGAGTCAGCCATGTTGTCAACAACAAATGTGAATGGTTTCAGACTGCCGGAAGTGCCAATTGATGAGCAACGATTTCCGCTGCAGAGGGCGCTGCAGTGCAGCGCTTCAAGTCTTCAGCCGCAACATGGCCAACAACAATGGCGACCTCAAGCAAAAATCAAAATGGCTGCGCCTGGAAAGTTTCCGCTGTTGCATGCAGAGCCAAGTGTGCCGCGAGCAACAGCCACTTTTCCAGTACAGCAGCAACATGTAGCAAATGACTACACCAGCAATATTCCAATCACAGCAAGAACATTAAAGTTTCCCGAGCAAATGATTCACTTGGCTTTGCCACAAAGATTTCCGCTGCTTTGCCAATTACCCAAGAGGAATTTCAACTATTCAACTCAATCAATAAGCATGTGGGGGAGCAGACCCACCGTGGCGACAACAAAATATGCGCTAAACGTATTTCCCACAATTAAAAAACAATTTATCAGCTTTCCCGATAATCAGCAGAAATGTAAGAAACATCGAAATGCCAATGCCAGTGCTGTGCATGGAAATGGTCATAGCAACGAGGCAACGCCAACAACAACGACGGATGTGGTGCCCACACCAACAACAACGACAACAGTGACGCAGACGAGCTACAATATGAGCACCAAAATAGACATGGACTCGCAGCGGACAGTTGATGCTGACAATGACAATGATGATGATGATGATCTTAATGATCATCGTAATGATGATAATGTTGATGATGTACATAAGGCGGCATTTGATAATGAACTTAACGCTCACGAGCAAACATTAAACTTGAACGTCGATGCTGAAGGCGTTGGCGAGCGAAAGGAAATCGAGCATCAACAGGCGGAAAATTTTAATGACGCCTTTGGGTGGCGACACGACAACAACAACAATAACAACAACAATAAGAACAGCAACAACGAACGCAACGTCGACGACGACGCCATGAATGCTGGTAATGCCAAAAATAAACGCGAAATATGCGAGCAAAGCAAATTAGAGACGGCAGCAGCTCATAATGAGCTAAATATGACTAAAGAGCGGCAGTCAATATGCTTGGCCAGCAGAGCAGAGCAGAGTCAAACAATAGCTGAGGAGCTAACACTCGCAGCCACAGCTGTAGCCGCAGCCGCAGCCGCCGCCTCCACTCAACAACAGCAGCGCCATTCAGACGCGCGCGAATCGTCGTCAGAGCAAGTGGATGGTCAGCAACGGCAACAATCAGACGTAATCGAAGCCACACCAATCGGGGCTGCCAGTTTAGAATTGTTAAAGAGTACGGTGCGCGCGTTGCTAGACGAGAGCGTCAGCGCTATCCCAGTGCCGGAGTGGGATCTCGATTTGATAGATCTATTGTTGGAGCTGGTGCAGCTGATTGCCACGGGTAACCTTTGGAGCGAGCCGGTGGTTGAGCAGGTGGCGGTCGTTGAATGTGCGGACATGACTGTGACGAAAGTGGGTGACGATAGTGAAGCAACAGCCGTCGTTGTTGATATTTATAGCGACCCAATTGAGCAGCCAGTGGAGCTGGATGATAACAACAATAACAACAGCAGCAGCAGCAGCAACGATAACAGCGGCAACCAAAGCAGCGACATGAAGTATGAACTACTCAAGAGCAGCACTCGCTTGCCAGAAGCTGCAACGAGTCGTGTATCCAGCATACCAACAATAGCAGCAGCAACATCCCTACCAACTGTTGCTGCCGTCACAAGTCACATACGTGATGCGCCTCTTCCAATAGCCTCTACATCGCGCCCGCTGCTGGGCGAGCTAAAACGCAGTTCCTCGAGTCGAGATGATGTATCGATTGATGTGGAATCCCTACTGCCGGAACGAACACGTCTGCGACGTCAGCGACGCATGCGATCGCAGGAATCGGTTGAGGAGAAGCCGGAAGATGTCATTGAGCGGCTGAACAAACTTAAGGCGCGCATTACGGGTGCGCTAAGCGAAGTGAAGGGTGTGCTGAAGCAGTACAGTACAGAGAGTGAGGCCGAAGCAGCAGGCGTTCAGTGGACCGGACCACCAACCGCTGCGGCGACCGTGCCGGCGACTGAGATGGAAGCAGTGCAGCCTGTGCAATTTCGTTTTGTAAAGAAAGTGAGAAGGCGCAGCTACTTTGATGAAGCTGACGAGGATAAGGACAAGAATGAGGAGAAGCAGCAGGTGCAGGAACAGAAGCCTAACGAGGATGGGACAAGTCATAGAGCTACTAACAAAGTTGATGAACTGCGTTCGCATGCTGAAGATGAAGCTGCTTTAATAAAAGTCCGGGAAATCAAAGAAAATGATGAGCCGAAGCAATCAACACAAATCTCCGAAAACAAAGCCAAGAAGCAGGCAGCAGAATTCAATCAGGAGATAAAAGCTACTGCGGACATAAACCAAAATAAGTTTGAGCAAGAGAAACCAACTGAAGTTTCTCAAGTCAAGGTCAATGAGGAACATCACAATAAAACAAACCAATCCAAGGAGGAACAAACTAAGCCAAAAGAATCAACTGAAGATAGTAAAGCTAATGAGAAGCAGCAACAAGTAGCTAGCCAATCCAAAGAGGATAAGGAAAAGTCAGCTGAAAGAGCTAAAGCACAAGCAAAACTTGAATTTCTGGCAAAGGTGCAAAGCGAACTTAAGTCGAAGCCAAAGCCAAAAGAGACAACAGTCATCAAAGAGGCAAGCAACTCAGCTGGAGCAGGCAAGGCACACTTGAAAGATGAGCCCAATACAATTACGGAAGCAACTTCTGTCAAAGAGCAACCCACAGCAGTCAAAGAGACGCTTAAGAAGACAGACACAACAGCAGCAGCAGTCGAAGTCGAAGCAGCCAAGGACAATTGCAAAGTAGCAAACACAGCAGCAACATTAACTGCAAAGGAGCAGCAGCAGCCCGTGGAGGGTGTGGAGGCCACATCACAGACAGCAGCCGCGCTGCCAGATGAGTCAGCCACGCAGCCAGCAACCGGGGGCGATGCAATGCCCAAGAAGGCGGTAAGCAAAAAGAAAACTCTTGTCAAGGTGCGAAATCCACGACGCGCATCCATTGCTGCCGTGGAGCCATCCAAGATTAAGGCTGAGTCTGTGCAGAGCGATGCGCTGATACAAAGGCGACCCTCCGACTCGGAAGCGATTGTCAAGCGCAAGAAGAAACAGAAATTAACGCTAAACGCTTCCGGCAGCGATGAGAGGGCGGCGGCATCACTGCCACAGGCGACAACAATAAATGAACACGTTGTAACCGCAAAGGTCAACAGCAATGCAGACACTGCCAAAAGCGTAACAAAAGCAACTGCCAAAAGCGCCGATACGAAACCAGAGGCGGCGGCTACAGCGGCAACATCAGCCGCAAACGCAGCGACAACATCAACTGCAACAGCAGCAGCAGCAACGTCGCAGACGGCGCCAAAACAATTGCCGATCGATGGTTTGGCCAATCAAGCAGCAGCCAGCGAGCAGAGCAGACGCGCCAGCCTGAAACTAGCCGATTTGGTGGGTGAAACGGTGCTGGTACTACCAGCAGCAACAACAGCAGCAGCAACAACAACAGCAGCAACTGCAACAGCCTTAACGCCTGTGTCCAGTGCAGTCAGCGGCTCATTAGGCCAGTTTAAAGAACCCATTAATCAGACATTAATTAGCCCGGCAAGTGCAGTAGCAACGCCTCAACAGGTGGTCGACGCCGTTGACATTGAAGTCGCCCCCGTTGATGCCGCGACGCCACAAATAGCAGCGACATTGAGCGAAGTGTCGCACGAAGAGTCATCGCCACAGCAACAACAACAACAACAACAACAACAGCAGCAGCAAGAGCAATCAGAACAACAACAGGCAACCGTTGCTGCTACAAAAGACAACGCACAGGCGCAATTGAACAACAGTCTAGAGACCATGCCGGAGCTGAAAGTACTTGCCGGACCCGTGCAGCCCGTTAAGATCGAAACGGTTGAACAGCCGCACGATGAGTCCGATTTGGTTGTATCGGCCAAGAAGAAGACAACGCATCTGAAGAAACTGGTGCGAAAAAGCTCCATAGACAAGGGCAAAGAGAAGGTGAACGAGTCGTCCGCCAAGCTCAACAACATATTGAAGGATAAGAATAAGATCGGCGATCTAGCGGATCGCATCAATAAGCAAACGCCGCCCAAGAAGTCGACAAAGGCAGCCAAGGAGCCGGAAACCAAGACACAGCAGCAGCAGCAGGAGCATGTTAAGGAAATAGAAACAACAATTGCAGCCGCAGCGGAAACGGAAACGGATTTGGTAGAGGAGTTGCAAGTCGAAGTGGAGCCAGCGCCTGTAGCCAAAAAGCCGCGACAGATCAAGAAAAAGGTGATCATAAAGCGACAGAAGCGACGCCTCTCCATTGGCGACACCTTCTTCATACAGCAGGAGCCGGAGGAGCCGAAGGTGCCTGAAATTGAGACAATCGAGAAGGCGATTGCCTATGTGACAGACGATGAAGCAGACGCCGAACCGGAACCAGAGCCAGAGCCAGCGAAACTCAAATCCTGCCTGCATGTGCGTGAATATAAGATTGGGGATCTGGTGCTCTACGCGGAGCGATACCGCAAGACCCAAGTGCGCTGGAAACGCGGACGAGTCCTAGAGCGCATCACCAGCATTTCGTATAAGCTCGAGATCGAGGGCAAGGAAGTGCCAGCACACATCAGCTATATCAAGAAGTACACAGGACGCAAGGTGAAATTTGTGGGCAAGGAGTATCTGGAGATCGACTACGAGCAGGTGGTCGAGGAGGAGCGACGCGCGCGCAGCTACAGCATATGGAATATGGTCTAAAACGTATCGAAGTGCAACAAGCAACTATGTAAGTGTTACCCAAATGTGATCGTCGCCCTTGGCAGCAGCTTCCTTCCATTAAGAAATTCGCGTGAATTTTTTAAAGGATCTCAAGTACGACATTCAGTTATGTTATAGTCTTTCGTCACTCTCTCTCTAGTTTAAATCTATGTATATATGATGATATGATGTACGATGTACGATGTGTAGTAGCTTAGCTATCCTAGTGTTAGTTCTAACTATTTTTCTATGTATACGTAAATTATTCCAAGATAACGAATTTGTTATAAAATTTCACGTTGCCTTTTCGTTTTACAAGTTTAGTTTACATTTTAAGCAAAACACCAAAAAATTGTATGTTTAATAAAGAGAAACAAATATTTGAACTATGCGCATTTCGGATTCTTTACATCATCAACAACAACAACGACGACAACTACGAGAGCAGCAAAAATGTTTTGCTCAATTAGTCATAAAAATTTTTATGAATCTGTTTATTTCAAAGTTTTTTTATTTGCCTTATATAACCTATTTATAGATTTGTTTTGTATATAGAGGGATATATATATATATCAATCATATATGAATGAATATTATCAAAATAAATAAACACAGTCAAGAGAGCTACCAAATGGCCAAGTTGTGACCTGTGCGAAGAGGCACTTGCTCGCCATACCTGTTTATAAATAGGCCTAGGCTATATAGCTATACAGCTATACACACTCCAAGATCGGGCATTAAAACATTCGCCCACTCCATCAACGTTGGCATTCGCATCCCTGAGATGTGCCAGAAAAATGCGTGTCATTAATAAAACTTTGGCGTAGTGCACGCAACAACAAACACGTCGAGACATCAAGAAAAACAAGAGCTAAACATTTTTGCCTTGGGGTTGGCATGGGTCGGCGGGCGGCTGACTCTGTAGGGAGGGGACTGTTAGGGGTAGCATTTCTCATAATTGATTGCCAAGGCGTTTGGTAGAGAAATCCCTCAAAATTATTGCTTTGCCTTTTGAGCAAGAGCACAAACGCGACAACAACAAAGAAATATACAAGCATGAAAAGATTTAGTATAGTATATGCATATATATACATATATATATATCTGTATATATATAGGCGATATATATGATGTAGTCTAGCAAATATGCTACATTCCTGGGATTTAGCAGAGCGCCTTTGTGTGCGACGCTTTTCATTCAATTTTTGTGGCTGGCAACACGACTCAATGTGATTAAGAATATAAGCGAGGGTGGCATGAGCAGTTTAACAGCTTCATTTAGATGGAAAAAGGAATGCAAAAATTAAAAAAAATATAATAAAAATATTTTCAATTTACATAAATAAATATAAACATATAGACATTGAACTTGTCAATTCTTCAAGCTACCCTCGTATATACAGTTTGCTATATACACACGTCTGCTGCATAAATTAATTACTAAAAGAGACATGCACAATTTCATGCTCATTGAAAAGCATATCTAGATCAAAATGTAGACAAACTTACGAATTTGCCCAATCCATAAATATTTTATAGATATAAAGATAAACAAAATAGAAATTTATAGGAATTTCAATATATTCTCAATTGAGCAAGAATTTCAATTGTTTAAGAAAACATAAAACAAATGAGAATGACAGAGGAAGGGGGAGGGAGAGAGAGATGTGGCAACTGCTGCTAGGAATTCGCTAATCCTAAATTTACGAATTGGAAAATTTCTGGCAGCGAACGAAGTCGCTCCCTTTGCATCTGTCTCTATAAAAGAAAAAATCAAAATTTATATAAATTCTAAATTTCACTTAAAAGAAAAACAACTTTAGCTAGAACATTTCTTTTTGTTTAGGGAAACAAGCTTTGCAGACCACAAAATATTTCCATAAATCAGCGCACAAATTTAGCGAACCACTTGGCTCTGCTATTAGCAGGAGCAGCGCATAGATAGCCACACAAACACACATGCAAATATATATGTATATAGATGTATCTACATGTCGCTACATTAAATTTTATGTAGATTTCGAGCAAAGCAAATGCTTAAATTCAATAGAAAACAGGGCGAGGGAGCGGCTGCAGGCGGCTGCTGTTTAGTATCGAACGCCGACTAAAAACTGTGCCAAGTTCCTTGCGCTAGTTTCTCATGCGACAGCGACATGGACATCGACATCGACAGCCACAGCCACAGCTACAGCCACAATCAGAGCATTGCACACAGCCACAGCGCGAGCTGGCTGTCCCGCAATTTGTTCAAAGTGCATAGAAAAAGAGCCGAGGCCGGTGCCGGGGACTGTGCGCCAGGCTAATTACTAACAACGCAAAAAGCCAAATACAAAATTGAAAATAATTATTGGAGCCTTCAAAAAGCGAGCGGCCTGCAATTTATTGCAATCCAACAGAAGACACAAAACAACATTTTTCTAGAGCTTACTCAGCCTAAGCAAACAACACGTGCTGTCAACATCTTGAACTTTCAGAAGGTCACACGAAATATATAAATATAAATTTATATATATATATATATATATATATATATATATGTCTATCAAGAGCTCATTTGGATACATAAAGGCCAAACATAAATTTGACATGAAATATATTGAAATGTTTACAAAATGCGCGCATTCCCTATGAATCTAATAACAGCGAGTTGAGTGAGCTCAACCTTCAAAGGCAATTTTTTAAATGTATACCCTGTAAAAATGTTGTAGTATATGAAAAAGGCGTATATAGAAGTTATGAGACAATAAATTATGAATGAATATAGACTGCACAATGGACTGAATAGTTATGATAGCAGAAACTTTTTAAAAGGATTTGTTAAGCCTAAGTTTTTGTTGTTGGTATATTTTTGTATACCCTCTAAATACTTGAAGCGTAAGTAAAGTATTTAAGGCTTTAAGTGTCTATAACACAGAAATATATATTGCTAAACACAACTAATATAAATTCTAGCCTCAGTGAATACATCCTGCTGTCGAGCATGAGCTAGAGGACGATGATTTATATAATTAATAAACTATATTAATAATAACTCAGAGGCTAGCATGTTAAACCTGTCAATGAAGCTATATTTCATAGCTAAAAAAACTGCATGTACTCAACTAAACTTCCTCAACTTACACCCAATTTACAGGGTATACGCCACGTCTAGCTACATACACTGCAGTCGCTTCCTTTTGTTTTTTTGGGGGCGACGGACGTTGCTTGGCACACGTTTAGCTTTAGCGTTTGTTTGTGCTCGAAAATCGATTAATGCGAAAGAAATCAGCCACTAGCTGATTTTAATGTCAACCAAGACGAAGACGTTTCTCGATACCATGGCGTCATGTCGCCCGACGCCATTTTGAATCATGGCTAGCGTCACCGAGAGAGCAGCGACGAGCAGCGGCCGATGATCGGCGAGCGACGAGCGACGAGCAAACGATAATCAATTGACATTTTGAAGGCGCGTCGCACCTGAATCATTAGCCAGTAGACCAAGGCCTTTGGCATTGCGCCTTGGCATTTAGCGCAAAGAAATATGCACAGCTCAGGCAATTGCCAACTGCCAGTTGGCAGTTGTTAGATAAGTGAAATAGGAGCTGCAAAAATCACTTACTCATTGGCTTGCAACTCTATGAGTACGGTGTCTAGGCGCGGCTGGACGTAGGACCAGGCGCCCTGATTCTTGTGTTCCTCCTGCACCCAATAGAGATTGGCATTCGGATACAACTCAATTTGCTTGTAGATCAAATCGAATGGAAAGGGGCAGAGCTTAGGGCATGGAAGAATGAAATCAGTATATATATATATATGAAAGAGATTGATCTATCGACTCACCTGCTCTACACGGACTAAAGCAGTGGTTGCCTCCTGGTCGTGATCCTCACGCTCCTTGAACAAATCATAATATACCTTGCCGGAGCACAAGATCAGCTGTTCAACAGATTCGGGATTGTAAGACGCTTTGCCCTTATCGGGTATGATGCGCTGGAAGGAGCTGCACTCGTTGAAGTCGCGAAACGGACTGCGTGCTGCCGGATGACGCAGCAGCGATTTGGGCGAGAAATTGATCATTGGCTTACGAAAGGACAGGGCCACCTGTCGGCGCAAAGCATGAAAGAGATTTGCCGGCGTCGACAAATTGGTAACGATCCAATTGCATTTCAGCAACTGACGCACCTCATAGTCGGCATCGCACATAATCGGAAACGTATCTGGATCATCGTTGCTCAACTGCAGGAAACGTTCAATGCGACCAGACGAATGCTCTGGACCCATGCCCTCCATGCTGTGCGGCAAGAATAAAACTAAGCCAGATTGTCGTACCCATTTCGTCTCACCGCTGGCTAGAAATTGGTCGATGATCGCCTGGGCTGTGTTGGCAAAATCGCCAAATTGTGCCTCCCAGATGACCAGCATGCTGGGGTGGGCCATCGAATAGCCGAGATCAAAGCCCATGACGGCGCATTCCGACAACGAGCTGTTACACACATCATATGGCGCCTGATCTGGATAGAGATGCTGAAGAATATTGAATTTCGACTTATCCTTAGTCTGATCGTGCAGCACGTGATGTCGATGCCCGAACGTGCCGCGTTCCACATCCTGTCCAGATAAGCGCACATGTATGCCATCCTTTACGAGGGAGCCAATGGCAAAGGCCTCGCCCAACGCCCAATCCGCTACTTTGTCCTGTACCAGTTTCTTACGTATGCTCAGAATACGCATAATGCCTCTGTCAAGAGAATTTATGTAGATATATGATATATATTATATATATATATATGATATATGTAAGAATCTCGACTTACTTGTGCACTGTGAAACTTATCTCTGGGGGCGGCGGTGAGGAAAACCATTTGCCAATATACATCAAAACCTTGATATTAACGCCGGTTGGACACATCTTGAAACGATCGCGGCCTTGGAAGTAACCAGGCCAGGGCGAATCGAGCCAGAGTGAATTCTGTCAATATATATTATGTGGAATAGAGGTCAAAGAGCTTGATTATCGCTATATTACGAACCTTGAATGTCTTAATTTTCTTAGACTCTTCGAAGGCATCGTTGCATATCTTCTCGTACTTGGCGTTCATTGCGTCATATTCCTCCATTTTGATGACTCCGTCGTTGACCAGCTTCTCGGCATACTTGAGTGTGCAGGGCTTTAGTTTACGTATGCGTTGATACATTAAAGGCTGCGTGTAGGCGGGCTCGTCCGCTTCATTGTGCCCGTTGCGACGATAGCCAACGATATCGATGACAACATCCTTGTGGAACTTGGCACGCCACTTGGCTGCAACGCGAGCGCAGTACACACACGCCTCTGGGTCATCGGCATTCACGTGGAAGATGGGTGCATTCACAACTCGCGCCACGTCCGTGCAGTAGCGAGAGGAGCGCGAATAGCGCGGATCAGTGGTGAAGCCTACCTGATTGTTGATGACCACATGAATTGTTCCATGTGTGGTATACTCGGGCAGATCTGACAAGTGTATGGACTCGAAGACAATGCCTTGGCCACAGAACGAGGCATCTCCATGTATCAACACGGGTAGCACTTTATTGCCCTGATAATCGCCGCGCCTATACATCTCGGCACGGGTCTTACCGAGCACAACAGGATTGACAAACTCCAGATGCGAGGGATTGGCCACAACTGTTATGCGCACAGGCCTCTTCGTTTGTCGGTTGTAACGCTTTGTGAACGTACCCAAATGATATTTGACGTCACCGGAGCCCCAATCGCTGGCCGAAATGACATTGAATTGCGATAAGAGCTCGCTCAACGGTTTGCGACAAACATTTGACAGGACATTTAGACGCCCGCGATGTGCCATGCCAATGTGCACCGACTTCACGCCCAATCTGCTCGACTGATCGATAATCTCCTTCATAATGGGTATCATGGAGTCACAGCCCTCGAGTCCAAAACGTTTCTCCGATGAGAACTTCTTAGCCAAAAAATTCTCAAAGCCCGTCGAGCGTGTCAGACGCTCAAGTATGAGTTTCTTCTCTTCAGCAGTGAAACTGACAATTCCAGGCACCTCAAAGTGCTTGCGTATCCATTCGCTTTTCACGACCGATGTTATCATCATATACTCTACGCCTATATGACTACAATATGCACGCTCTAAGCGATCTAAAATCTCTCTGTAAAAGAAAGGACAGATGAGTTCTTTAAGTGACCAATAAAATGGCCTCCACTTACGTAAGCGGCAGGAACTTTTCGTCACCACCAATTGACGTGGTCTTCGGCAGCTTGAAGAGAGCGTTCAAGTCGTCTGTTAATGAATGATTCAATTGGATTATCAACTGGCTGAGCCATTGGTCATATAAAGCTAAACTCACTAAAAGCATAGGAGTAATGCTGGCGCAGCACCGCCTTGGTTGCCTGGCGCTTCTTATCATCGGAAGAGAGCGAATGACCTGTGGGTCCGACAATGCCCAATGGATCGAGATCGGCAGCTAGATGACCACGTGTTTGATATGCACGGATAATGGACTGCACCGCCAAATGATCATCAATGTATTTCCAGTCAGCTTTCGGAGCAGCCTTTGTAGACGCACCGCTCTGTCCAGCTGCTGTGGGCTCCCATTTCCGTCTCCTCGTCTGTTGATCCTGTTTAATAGTGTGGCGCTTGCCTGCAAAATAATTGTGCCACGTCTACGTCGTATGTGGAACGAGCTCAGAAGATTGCACAAAGAAAAACGAAGTAAAAAAAAGTTTCACCTCATCCACTGAATTTGGATCCTTGACCCATTTGCGATACAGCCTATCAATGTAGGTGGCATTGCTGCCATTGGCAAAGCTATCCGATGCAGCCTTGTCAGATTTATCCTCTCCTTTGAGAGCTCTGCCCACTTGCAGCGATCGTCGGCAAACCTTAACTTTAGTAAACCTGTTCATTACTAATGCAGGGGCCATGCGACCACGCTTCAGACACATCGCAATATCTGCCATAAATGAATTTCTTAACTTGTTTCGAATTTTGATTCAAACATAAATTTTGAAAACAACTAGTTCTGTGTTACCTAATATATATATTTATAATCCTATATGCTCATACTTTCAGCTTTTTCTGTTTTACAGTCTGTACATTATAATTTTTCCATATTTGTCAAGCCTTCTTGTCAACTACATTTTTTATATGTATATACACATACGTATTTTCGTTATGTACATATGTATGTATATATATATAAAAAAAATATATATTATATATACATATATATATGTATATATAGATATATATATATATATATATACATATATATATGTATGGTTTTGTACTGAAATTTCGCATCTATTTTTCGGACTTGGGTGTTGAGCTAATTTTTGGCCCATTGCTTCTCTTCATCTTAGCAATGCGGTTCAGCTGCGATTTAATATATTCACGTTTGGCTCGAAATTGGGTTTTCGACAAGGCCGACCTCACGCGCTGTATGGCCTTCTGATCCTTGATCTGCTGCAGGGATTTCCTGAAGTCAATTTTGGATCTACTGGCAACTGTCCCTGTGGACGGCTGTGTTTTTGACTTGAACGGCTTCGGCTGGCCCACCATGTTCGTTGGTGCGATATCTTTTTCAACTGTGTTTTTTATCTCGTCCTGTTTCGAACTAACGGGGCCAGTGACACTCTCTTTAGCGGGACTCAAAATTATATGACCAATCAAATATTCGTCTTTTGTAGGTTTTGTTAACGTGGAATTTTTGATTGGATTTTTATATGTTGGCTCTCGTTGGATTTTCGGTTTCTTTTTCTCAGTTTCCGTCCCTCTGCCTGGTTTTCCCTCTTTTGGTTTCATAATCCTAACTGGCTGCGGTTGTATGTATGGTCTCTTTGGATCGGAATACGGCTCCAATATGTCATCATGAGGTGATTCCTTTCTATCAGTAACTTTGTGAGAAGATTTGCTAGTCGTAGATTCCGCGGAAGTGTTATATTCTGGCTCGCTAACTTTGCGAGAAGCTTTGCTAGTTGTAGGTTTTATTATATCATTTTCTGGTTTCATTATGTCACAATCACTTGATTCTTTGTGAGTAACTTTCTTAGCCATAGGAGGTTGTGTGGAAGAAGTATCTTTATTTGAAGTTCTTGAAGGCGATTTTTGCCTAATCGGCAGAATCGCGACATCTCCTACATTTTTACTTTGCAAAACATCGGTAAAGTACTGATGCCATGACTATAAACGAAATCCAATAACTATAATTACAATCTTTAAGCAAATGTCATTATTTTCAATTTACCCGATGGACAGAAGTCGGGTTATGAACCCACTTAGTGAAGAGGCATTCCATATAATTAGCGTCTGCGTCGTTAACGAAATATTGTTTACTGACTTTATCTTTAAATAACTTATAAGGATCAAACTTTATGTTCTGATTTCCATTGTGCGCCTTTCCGTTACCACCCTGCTTTGGCCCACCACGGCTCGAATTTCCTGTACTAAAACATTGAAGGCGGGTTTTTCCAAGCACTACCATGGAAGCAATTTTGAATTTAGCGTAAGCAGACATATTGACTAATTATTGTAATGTTCTAAAGATAATTTCCGAAAGTAGCCAATAAATAAATGAAAAGGTCTAACTAAGATGAAGTTTATAAAAAGCCTACTATTTTTTAACGTCTATGTTTAAGTGCTGTAAAATGATTGCGAGACAGTGCTGTAAAAGAAATTCGGTCTGCTGTTAGTATTTATTTGTTTTTGAAACGTTGGTTACACTTGGTTGCCTCGACTTGGTGTTGGCGAAAACGAATTGCTGTCATTACCCAACACTTACAAAACACTGCAAAAGTCCACGCTGGGCATATAAATTGATTTGTTTATTAATTTGTATATAAACACAAATTGAATAAATTGCCATAACTATGAATCAATTTCACACACCCTCATTTGGTGACGAAGTGTTCGAGATGAATGAAACACCCCTGGAACAGACACAACATCCAAATGCTGTAAGTTCAAGAGCGTGGAACTGGGAGCCATTCGCCGTGGGGTCTGCCAAACAATAGTATTGTTTATAATCTGTGTGGTTTGCTTTTAGAGAGAGCTCTATTGAATTATTAATTGATAACGTTTCCTTTTTCTGAATAAAATCATTTAAGATTAATGCCTACCTTCCCGGTCAGCAGGCACTAACGAATTGGAATACTCATAAATGTCAAAATGAATATTTTTAACTGATTATTGGTGGATCGAGCGTGTTTCCAGCTGAGCAATTGGATTAATGAAGGTGTTCGCCACTGCATATAGATGGTTAATCGATTTATAATATATCCAAAAAGCGCCCAATCGGAAACGTTTCAGCGCGCTTCTCTTGGATTTGTACTAGTTGTGTGCGTGTGTGACTGCTGGAGTGTGTGTGTGTATGTGTGTATGTGTGTATGCTTGCCCTAGATGATGGCATCAGTAAGCGCATGAGGGTTATCGATACAAAACAACAACAATCAAGCTAACAGCAGAAGGCAGCGCAAATGCTTATCAACAAACAACACGCACACCAATAAGCGAACACAAACAAACAAACACACACATACATACAATCAGCAGGTTGCGTCTACCGCTGACTGCGTCCCCCTCGCCCCTCTCGCCCAATCGCTCTATACGTGCTCCATAAGCGAATAGAGCCGTACGTGTTATGCACAAGCGAAGCACATGTACAAATATACGTACACTGCGTCTTGCCTAATATAGCGAGCTGTTAGCTGGGACGCGATTAAGCACATATATTTAGTTGATTTACAATACAGCAGCCAAGATGAAGAAATTATTAGTGAGCCATCTCCCTATAAAAATCACCTCAATTTTTTTTCGATTCAATAAAAAATGATCTATATATATGTATAACAATTGCCCTAAATGTTTTCCTTTTTGTTTGTTTTTTTCATTGCAGTCACGACGTATTAGTAGGCTAAGCAGCCTGGATCACTCCACGCTAGTCGACGACGAGGAGGAGGCCGTTGACTACGATACACCCAGCAGCTATCAAATGACAACAAATCAACAGCAGCAGCAGCAGCAACAATCCCAACAGGCACCGGCCAAGCCGCTTGCGCCTTATGCGCTCTTCTTTCGAGACACCATGACGGCCATCAAGCAACAGAATCCTGCATGCACGCTGGAGCAGATAACAGCTATAGCTCTAAGTATGTGGGAATCTATGGACGAGAAGCAAAAGACTGTATACGATCAGCGGCATGACGTGGAAAAGCGTGAATATGTGCGTCAGCTGCGCGATCATCAACGCAATCAGCAGTTGGGCGAGCAGCAGCAGCAACAACAGCAGCAGCAGCAACAGTCGTCGCCTTCGGATTCCCTGCCAGACCAGGAGGAAACGCCAGGGGAAACAAGAAACGAGACAGCCGTTGCGCAGCCGCCACCACCTTCAGATCAAATTCAGCTGTTAACCGAAGCAGCAGCAGTGCAAAAATGTACGCGCGAACAATGCAATAAGCCGGCAATAATAAATCCCGATTGGGAGGATGAATATTGCAGCAATGAATGCGTTGTTATACATTGTCGCAATGTGTTTACGGAGTGGGCGCGTTCGCTGCAAAATTCGCCCACGTAGTTACTAATCTTAATAGGTGCACTTGTAGGTATTAACTAAAACAAGAAAAAAACACAAACACAAAAGTAGGTAAAACGCAATCAGCTGTTCGGCGCACGCACGCAGCGTTGCCAGCTGTCAAAAAAAAAACAACACTATGAAACACTGAAGCTTGGCACACCCACAAAATGACGCGCGCAATTCAAATGCGTTCTGTGCATTGCTTAGTATTATACGATTATTAATAAAACATCAACAATTATGTATATATTTGTTTATATATATAACTTTTAATAAATACACACATTTATTAAACTTGCACTTCATTATCAATTTATCAATATATCAATGTCGATTCGCTTACAAAATACATGTGTTTTTTGCTGTTTCTGTTTTTTGTTTTTTATATATATTTATATATATCAAATAATTAAAATGTATAAATAAATGTAAAATACATTTTTATTGGTTGCGCGGCCGATTCAATATAAAAACTCAAAGAACAGTATAAAAAATTCGCAATGCTTAAAGTATTAAAGAGCAGGAGGGCTAGAGATAGAGAGAGGGCATCGTTAACAATATAACTTGTTTATAAGCTGCTGCACAGAGACTTTTTTTTTTAAATGCAGATGGCAAAAGCACTTGAATATTTCTTCGTAGTGTAGTTGATTTATTTAAGACAAGTACTTCAAAGCACATAAATTGCAGCAAAATTAAGAAAATATAAATAAAAAGGATGAACAAAATAATAAAGAGTAAGCGCACACTAAATAATATCACCAAATTATCTTTTCATCTCTTTTTGACATTGCTTCCACTTCACCTGCCAGACAATACTATACTTTAATTAGTATTTATATATGTTTTTGAATTATTTTTGGGGAGCGGGAATTTTTAACGACAATAATTTTTTGTTGTAATTATGTATATAACTATTATAATTTTAGTGGGTGCATCTTTTGCTTTTTAGTAACATGTTCTTCATTTATCTTTGATTATTTTTGTCCTTTCCTCTCTTTATGGATTATTGATTTATTGTTAAGGGTTTCCTGCGCCTGCAACTACATGCTATTATTGACTAGAGTTGCCTTATGGGACGTGTATGGGTTGGTTTGCTCGGCTCATATTTGATATGGACCTGCCAATTGAGAAAAATTAATATCTGAAATTAATGACAGTTGCATATATAAATATAATCGATAATAAATATAATCGTAAAGGAAAAGTTCATTTCAGGCTCAGAATTGCTGAACATCACAAAAGAACATATCGTTAATAATCGCTTGAACTAAGCAAATAGCTCATGAACAAACCGTCTTGTTCATACGGGACTAAAGTGTATCGGTCACTGATCACTAAATTAGTTCAGTTATTTATTTCAACGATATGCTCACTGAATTAGTTCAAAAACTCATGCCTTTAATTTGGAACTTCTTTTATTCGCTTTCGCAGTCTGGCCACACAGGCAAGTTCCTCCTCGCTCACCGTCTTGGAGATTTATTCCACAATCTGCAGTTCGGCTACATTTAGATCGGCGCTATCCTTGCAAAATGTGCTCGAACGTTCCAGCTTGGATTCGACGTGCTGTCCACCGTTGTTGTTGTTGTGGTGACTGTTGCTCTCCAGCTTTACATCGATGAGCAAATCCAGTTTTTGTTTAACCGCCTGTGCAGCCTTAAAGCCGCCATTCAGAACACCATTTGTATGGGGCTTATAGCCAGGAGCTGCTGGGGCATGGCCATTTGTTGTTGTTGTTTGGTTTGTTGTCTTACGCAGCTGCAGCGTATTGGGACGTCGTGTGGGTATATTGGAGGGCAAACTGTTGCGTAGATTGTGCTGCTGTAGCATGCTGCTGACGGCGGAATGTGAAGAGGAGCGCAAAGGACCGGCAGAGGCGCGTAACTGTTGTTGTTGTTGTTGCTCTTGTTGCTGCTGTTGTTGTTGTTGCTGCTGCTGTTGCTGTAATTTGTTCTTCTCTGCACGCCTAGCAAGAATCTCTCGCGACTTGGCAGACAAGAAGCTGTGTCGTCCCTTTGCAGGATTTTCCCCACCAGCCGGCACCGATATTGAACGTTGCTTGAACATCTCTCGCGTGGACAGCGTGCTGCTCACCGAGGACAATCGACTGGTTGCCGATTTGGTTGTATGCACCGAACTGGGACTGGAGCCATTAGAAGCGCCTGTTGCATTCACGTTGTGCTGCTGCTTAAGCTGACGTGTCGACTTGTTCGTCAGCGCTGTGCCACGCTGTATGCCTCTTAATGGAGCCGGCTTCGTGACTGCAGCAGCATGTCCATTGAGCTGCTGCACCCGTGCCAATTTGGAACTGCTCGACAGCGATTCGTGTGAGATCGTTTTATTGGTTATCACCGAGCTCTTCATGCTCTCCGCCATCGAATCCACATTCATATCTGAGGAATACCGTTCACGCGATCCACTCTTTGCAAGACTATCTGTGGACAGGTTGTTCGACTTGTTGCCCAATCGTGTGCCTCGACGCAGTGCCGCCGGACTGGAGTTTCGCGAACTGTCGCTGGAAGAGATGTGCAGGTTCTTTGCCTGCGCTTTGCGTGCTGCTGGTATACTGGAGCTGGTAGCGCTGCGCATGGGACCGGTCGTTCCATTGCCTGCACTAACTGCTCGCGGCTTACGCGGCTCCAGATAGCGTGCACGCACCATGGGTGCTGCGGATTTGGTTTGACTGCTGCTGGAGGCATTCGATTTCGGCTCTGCAACTCCTACTGGCTTACGCTGTGTGACGGGCGGAGCCTCCGACTGTGTGCGACGATGCGTATTGAGGCTGTGCCTCTCGCTTGCCGTCTGGGAGCTGGCGCGCTGCGCCTGCGGTACATAGGCGCGAGAATTTGACTTGAGCAACTTGCCTTTAGAACAGATAGATAATGTTAGATCACAGATTAGATATATGGGCTTATATATTATACTTACTGTTGCCCTCGCGCAGATCGTTGCCATGCGCCTGGACGCCACGCTCCGTGGTTTGCACATTCGCCGCATCATAGTTGGTCTGAGTAGCCTTGTAGAGCTGTGTTTCCTGCGCTTGAACGCGCTTCGATTGCGCCTGTATGGCCAGCTTGATCTGCACCAGATCCTGGCTGCGTGTGCTGCCACCGAAGGAGAAGGCCTTGCTTACCGGCTTGCCGCCGTTGCGTTTGAGATCGAGCGGCTCGGTAAGTCGCGCCATGGTCTGGATTTTCTTGCGCAGCTCCAGATCCATGCGCTGCCAAGCAGTCACACGCATGGCACGTGAGCATTGCCTAATCAGGCACTGTTCGACGGCATAGACCAGAGCACTGACCAGACGTATATATTCAGGTTGCCAGTCGAGCTGTTCCTCTTGCAAGCCCTGCAGTTCCTTGGCCAGCTCGCCCAGATTAACCGGCATCTGGATGAGTTTCGCCTGCAGCACAGTATTCAAGCGAGTTACACGCTGATAGCTACGGCATGCCTGCTCCGGCGTGAGTGCCGCAGCTGTTTGCAGCAGCAGCGTCTCAAGTCGTGGAATGTGACGACTGCGATCGTGACCAAGTGAGAGGAACGAATCGCTAGCTATAAGGCTGGCAAAGTGATCGCCCACATAGCCATAGGCAGCATCTAAAATATCGCGCACCAGCTGCTCGCAGACATGACCCCAGCGATAGGCCGAGAGCTGAGCCAGCAGATGGTCGCAGTCGAGCACTGTGTCCAGCACCGTCTCGGAGGTCTGTGCGGGAGAAAGAGAGCAAGTTAATCTCTGATAAATGATAAATAATGCAGTTAGAGAGTCTTACCATGTAGGCAACAATCTGTTGACGACAGCGTCCGAGTATATCCGGCGGCAGCTGAGCAAATTGACGCGTCGGCCACACCTTCAGATAATGCCGGCAGGTCCAGCGCAAGCATTTGCGATAGAGATCATCCAAAGCATGATTCAATGCAACAGGCAGCACCTGCAAAATGCCATCGATGCAGCCGGAACAGGGCTTATGGAAGTTGTGGCAGTAGTTGGTCTTCAGCGCATGCGATGTCACCTCCTTCAATCCCTCCAAGCCCAACAGATCAGCCAACGCGGCCAGCTCCATCAGACTAATCCCATCTGGTGGATGCGAGGCACCCGAATAGATGTGACACAGAGCAAAGTGTACGGCTGCATAGGAGTAGCCCTGCAGGGAGACAACGCTCTGGGCTCCATGACCAGCCAACATGGCGGCAAAATATTGACAGCGGCTGCGCAGGATGCACTTGTGGGCGCGTATGCGCCTACCATGGACCTCCACCAACATATCGGTGGCAATCTCCTGGAGAAACATCTTCAACAAATCCTCACCCAGCCTCCGCGGCTGGCGACAGCTCATCGAGGACTCGTCCATGCCGGAGCGACTGAAACTGGAAGCCAAACTGGAATCGGCGCTCAAATCCGTTTGTATATAATCCACCTGCTGCTGCTGTCCGTTGTCCAGTATCATGTCACCAGGCAGCGAATTGGAGAATTCCTTGCTAAAGTTGGGAAACAGACGCGACAAGCTGCGTAAGTTATCCACCGAGCTGGCCAGCTGTTGGATATTGTTGCCGCCACCTGTCGAGCGCGTCATGGCCCAGGAATGTGGCCGCGTTGCTGCGCGTTGTTGTTCGTCGCGATAGAACCGTTGACTGGCACTGCGCTGGTTGCCCGCACTCTTGCTCATGGCATCCGGCGATTGCAGTTCATGCTTGGCCACAGGCTTATCCATATCGGAGAGCTTGACAAAGTTTGCCGGCTGCTCGGCATTCTCGTTAACCGTTTCAAGCAGCTGTTTCTGCTTCTCGATGGTGGCATGGAGTGTTTCCATGGTATGGCCATTGCTAAGATTCGGCTGCTTCTTGGGAGAGGCCGTCTCTTTGGCCTCAATGATCGTCTCCATGATGGAGGTGCGATTCGAGCTGCTTGTCAGCTGCAGCGGCTGTTGGACCTGTTGCTGCTGCAGCTGCACCTCACGCAGCGCTAGCTGCTCATCCTGCTGGAAGGTGAGGTCATCCGTGTCCGTATTGGACGCGGGCGACATATCCTTAGAGAGCACGCCCTCTGTCAGGGCAGAGGCTATGCTGCTGCTCTTGTCGTAGGTCTCATTTAGCTGTGCATCGCGTCGTCGCTTCTTCAAACGAGCCGCCTGCTGATCATCGTCAGAGCAGCTGCTCAAGGCGCCGCCACTGTACTCATCATAGGGCGACAAGGAGCTATCCACGGACAAGGAGGATGCTTTCGATATAATGGGCAACTTGTCGATAATGCTCATTAGACCACTGCCAGGTGGATCGCCCCCATTGGCAGTTAGGCTTATGGAACGTTTGTAATCCCCGGGAATTGGCGCCTGGTCCTTGCTGTTATTGCTGCCCCAACTGTGCCGCTTGCTGGTGTCCTGCTCGCGCGACATGCGACGCAGTGCAGCAACCGTCAACGATGGCTGCTCCAAGTTGCAACGATAGTCGAGCGACTTGCTCTCCTCCTTCTGCAAAACTGGCAACTGAGTTGGCTGCTGTGTGCCGCTCTTGGCCATTAGGGTTTCCGTCGAGCTGGCACTGGACTTCATCAGTTCCTCGCCGCGCCGTTGAACCACGCTCAACGAACTGCTCAAACGTTGTGCCAAATTGAATGGCTCCTTGCGTCCATTGGTTGCACGCTGTGGCGGTTGCTGCTGCTGTTGCTTGGCCGGCTCCCCGAAGTCTATAAACATGCTGAATATATTCTTTTTATCGGCCTGCTGCACTGCCTCCTCCTTTGGCTTTGACTGCTCCAGCTGCTCGTCCTTAGCCTGATATTCACTCTGCGAGAGATTCACAAAGAAATTCGCCGCCTTGGGCGCTGTATAGGACTTGCTTAAGGACGATTGCTGCACTGGTTGTTCCTTTTGCACCTTTGGCTTTCTATCCATGTCATCCAGTGACACATAGAAACCGCAGCCGCTCTTATGCGAGCTATTCGAATCGGAGCGTTCACGAAAACGTGCCGCGCCAGCCTCCAGGCTGGACGTGGAGCTGCTGCTCTTACGCCGCTCTGGCCGACAGTCGCTCATGTCCACCACCCAGGACGCAATGCCTGGTAGAGGCTTGCGCACTGGTTGGCCCGTCTTGACCCTCAGCTCCACACCCTCCAACTCTGCATCTTCATTCGCCTGCTGATCATTGGCAATCTCATCATCATCATCATCATCGTCCCTTGGCCGCGTGGCCGCAAAGTCTAGCGACACAAATCCACCCGACACAATGGGACAGGCATCGGTGCGCTTTCGACTGGGACTATCGCAATGCTTCTGCCTGAAGTCCTCAATGGAAGCACCGCCAGAGACAATGGGATTCGCCTCATCGAACTTGGAGCAGCGTTTGGGTGTGCGTGGCAGCGGCAGCGGCGAATCTGTGGCATCACTGCAATAGGCGCCCGAATCGCGATGATGCGACAACGAGGAGCTGAACGTATAATCCCTGTGTATGGAGCTATTGTTGCTGCTCGAGACGTGCTCCAGCACATGCACCATGGAATTGTGTGGAGTATCAGTAGCTGGTGGCAGCTGCTGCTGCTGCTGTGGCTGCAACGATTGCTGTTGCTGCTGCTGCTGCAGCAACTGTGATGGGTGCTGCCTGCACTGCTCCGACCAGACCAAACTGTGTGCCGGGCTGCTGCTGGAGTAGTCTGTCGTATAGCTGAGATCGTGTCCATGATGTGGTGCAAATTTCGGGCTGCTGCCCAATGGATGCACGCTAAACTGTTGTGTATTGTGCTGGAAGCTACGCGGCACAGCCATGGGCACAGCAGCGGGTGCAGTGCGTCGCCTGCGTGCACTTAACGAGGAATCGGACGAGTCGGCATCGGCAGCTAGAGACACGCTGCTGGCCTCCGTGGCATCGGTAGCACCACTAGCCGGCAGCTGTTGCTCGCGTTTCCACAACTTTTCTTCATCGGACAGATTGTTGGTGCCACTATTCGAGTCCGGACGTGGCTCATCCTCCACCTCCACATCGGAGCTGCAATTTGATTGACTGCTGCGTGGTGCCTTGCACTTGGCAAACGCCTTGTGAAACTGTTCCAATTCCAGCTCCGTCTCAGGCTTTGCCTGATCGTTGGGCTGCAGGCTGTCCAGACTCGGAAACGATAGCACCTCGTCCTCATCGCGCAGCGACGAGGCGTCTATAAAACAGGCGCTATTCTGTGAGCTGCTCAGCGGCTGTTCCCGCTTCTCCAACTCACGCAACAGGCAGCTGGCGCTTATGCCCTCCACTTGGGGAAGAGCTGGCACCGGAGGCTGGGATTGCACAGCTGCTGCAGTGGGATATACGGACTCCCAGGAGCCTGTCTCAGTTGATACAGTTGATGTTTCCATGCATACAATTTCCTCGTTTTGTCGCTGCTTTTCCTCCTTTGAGGGCGGCTTTAATTTACTGTCGTAGCTTTTGTTGTCTCTCCCGCCGCCGCCGCCGTTGCTGCTGCTGCCACCGGCAACAGCTGCTGCTACCAGAGCAGCTGCAGCTACTGCACCGCTATTGCACTCCGGACTGGATACTGGCGAGAAGGTATCACGCTCCTCCTCCCCGACATCCAGTTCACAGGTTTTCGTGGAACCGCTACCCGAATGCGAACCCCTCTGATTTTGTCGAGCTGCTGCACGCAAATCTTCGCTATATTGCGGCGCCGAGGATGAGGAGGAGGAACTGCTGCTATCTGTCGCCACAGATGGGCTGCTCACGTTGCTGTTGTTGTGGCTGCTGCTGTTGCTGCTGCTGGTGTTGGTGAGATTCGAATAGTGCGAGTGGTTGGGCGAACCAATCGATGCCTCCATCTGTTGGTCCAATGACCTGGCAATCGCTGCTGCTGCTGCTGCTACTCCAACTGCTTCTGTTGGCTGCTGCTGCTGCTGTTGGTGCGCTGCTTCCATTGTTTGTATGGCTAAGGGGGTAGGCGTTTTTTGGGGGTGGTCGTGGCGTTGTTCAACTCATCGACACGATTCGCTAAATGCCAAGTGACTGCTAAAGTGACTGTCAAGTGGCAGTCAAGTGACTGTCAAGTGAAAGCTGCTAAAAGTTGTTGCTTCTACTTCAATGGCTGTTGTCTGCCTTTACATGGCCACATGCTGCATTCCTGGCTGGCGTGGGCAAGTCTCTTACAGCTACGCAAAGTATCTCACAGCTACCCAAAATAGCTCAGTCGAAATTGATACCAAAGACGTGCTGCTCCGTCTTCTCCTCTGCAGCTGCTGATGATGCAGTGCCTCCCGCCTGTCTGTCTGTCTGTCTGTCTGTCTGTTTGTTTGTTTTTCTAGTTGTCTCGTTTGTATCTCTTTCTTTTCTTTTTTGTTTGTTTTCGTTTTCGTTTATCTTCTCTGCACTGCTTCCTTCCCTCTTTCCCTTGTTCGTTGTTGCGTTGTCTGCCTTCAGTTCAAGCGGCTGCTGATTTATTGCCAATTGTGTCAATTGTTGCACTTGTTGTTGCTGCTGCTGCACAATTAAACTGCAAAAAAAAATTGAAAATAAGAAGAGTTATTAAAACTGCAAAACACTATAATACTTTATAAATAAACTGCATTTGTTTGAGTGCATATTATTTTGTCGCCGATTGTAAAAACTTTATAGCTCTAAAGCCTTTGACTCAACAACAGGAAATATGTAAACAAAAAGAATTCATAAAAATACATTAATGACTCAAAGCGAAAATTGCGACAACTTGAGCTACTTTTGCGATTATTTTAGCTAAGGTCTTAGCAATTATTTGCAATATTTAGATAGATTAAGACCTTTGATAGAATAACAGTTAATTAAAATAATTTACTAATTAGTTCAAAATATATGTCTGCTTTTAAATTTCTGCTCCAAGCATACATATTATACTTCCTTAAGAATTGCTTTCACAAAAACCTATCTGAAAAGCACTCATAATAAGATGTATCTGTAAAAATTCTTCAACAATTCATCATAAGTAAAGATTTAATCAGTTACTAAAACAACTGTCAACAGAAAAAGATATAAAATATCAAATTTGAATATCGTAAATCGTAAACCTTCAATTTAATTAAACAAAAATATTATTAACGCAAATTTATTTATAATAAAATGCAGAGTTTAATATAACATATAAGATGCCATATTATTTAAATTAAACATTTCGCAATCTTGTTGCTTTTAACAAGCATAATAAACCGTATCGTCATACCCGATTTTTTATTAAAAAATATAATTAAATTTGTTGATATATGAAAAAACTTTTAATTAAAAGTAAACAGCAACAAATTTAAATTATTTAAGACATTGAAAACGATATGTGAATATGAAGTTGAGCCCGTGAGAAATCCGACTAGCCTTTTCCGGTTTTTCTTACTTATGATTTAATGATTGAAATTGTTTGTGTTTTTGCTGTGTTGAAAAATATTTATAAACATTTTTGTAAGTAGATATGGAAGTAAAAAATATGATTATAAATATTTTGAATGACTTTACAAATATTTAAAAAATTGTTTAAGTCGTTGAGCTGGAATTATCTAAAAAAAAGTTTGAAGCAGTTTTTTATAAAAAAATATATATATATCTATATATAATTCCAGCACAGTTTTTGTTTTATTTAATTTTTAAGTATTTATTTGGAAACGATTTAGCGTCCATCCATATGGTTGCAATGAAAAAAACTTTTTATGCAATTGGCATACGCTTTTGCTGGCGGTTACTTGACGTCAATGCGACGCACCTAAAACCCATCAGAAGCTACCGGTTGGCCCGCCCCCTAACCAGCTCGCACCCCGCCTCCCACATATAAGCTGGCTAACCACAAAAACAAAAGGCATTGATAGTTCAACAAATTTTCCCGTTGTTTCCTTTAGCGCTTCCATTGGGCAAACATCTAGAATTTCAATTTTTCAATTTGTTATCAAGGAAGTTGCAAGTGCATTGAAATTTGAGTAGCGCATTGGAATAAGTGGATGTATATATATACATTTGTTTAGGGACCGAGAATATATATGCTGTGATCAAGCATGAAACATTTGTCACCTAAAAGCTTTTTGCTTTTGCTTTGTTTACAAACAACTAAGGTAAAAAGAGCTGGAGAAATACCTTGAATATACTGCAAACTTAAGTCAACAGTCATAAGATATATCATACACTTGTATATATATAATGTATATATCTGTAATGTGTGCCTGTATAAATATTTACGCAGTTCACTGAAATTTGAATAAACTGAAGGGGCACTCGAAGGAATTTCATAACTGAATAGGCAAGGGTCTGGCAGAGGTAGTTAAACAGAACTTAATCCGGTCAATGAATTCTCTACTTCGAGATTAATTAACTATTACGACTATATATATATATATATATATATATATATATATTAAATATTTAAATGGGTAAATGCCGACCAAGTTCATTTGCATACAAAGGCGCGACTTTGACGTTGGCCAGCAAATCACAGCCAAGCGTTAAACATGAAAATTAATACGTTCATACATAAAGGAATCTAAAGAGCTAAACATGCAAATCGTGTGCACGAGACAATCAACTAGAATATATAGACAGATAGAAAACATATTAGAAGCAAAGATTAATTGCGCTAAGCAAAAAGTTAATGCAGGTAAAACACGGAACATAACTGTTATGTTAATTGTAAACAAAATTCCGCTATTGATAAATATTGTGTAACCTTTTCCCTTACATTACTCAAGAAAGAACGGATTATATAAAAATAGAATCTATAGTCTGATTCTGTCAGTTTGTGACGGCATCTTAATGAGAAATGTGTTTCTAAAACATAACATTTATTATACTTATTGTTAATATTATTATCATTATTCATATATTAACTGAGGAACTACGTAGCAACACCAGACGTAGAGAATTACATAGTGAGAACACTATTCCCAACACACATCTAAGGAAAGCGTGCTACAGCTCTACAGAGCTTCGTTACTCAATGTTTCTTTTTATCATTATCATAATTATTAACATTATCATTATCATTATCATTATCACATAATCATTGTCATTCTCATCATTATATGCAACAGTAAGGTAAAGCTTTACTGCTCATTGTTTCTTATTATCATTATTATTATGATTATCATTCTCATCAATATTTATATCTTTACATCGATATTACTACTATCAGTATTATTTATATTTTTTATTATTGTCATTATCATTATCATTATCATTTTCATTATTATTACTTTTATTCATTTCTTTTTCTTTTACAAATTTAAGCAAAACAAAACTCTCTTTTTTATTATAATACTAAAAAAATTCAACAACTGTTTTAAAGTTCATTCAACCCGTAAAACATGAGCGAAAACTTAACTAGAAAATATAAAACAAAGTTCACACAGATCAACAATGAAGGCAACAACAACAATACGATATAAATAGGTATACGTATAGCAATTATGTAATTTATGACTTGTGGCACGATATGCAACAAATACTAGCAACAATTCTATATATCAGTAAAAAAATATATGTAAAAATCATAAAAGAAAAAATCAAATTCATTTATAACTCGATAATTGCACGTTCGTTCATAAACAAAAGGAAAAATAAAATGGTAAACATAAAAATCAACTGATTTACTCGTGTTCCGTAGAGTTGCTTAGCATTTTTATATATTTTTCCCAATTCGAGCTGCGACACAGACCATATAAAGCATATGACAGCATTTTCAATAGTTTCCATTTGCACAAAATTCTTAATTACAAAATAATAGAGGAAAAAACAAACTTATAATAAATTTAATGATTGCTGCGAATCGTGCTTAAAAGCCAATTGAATATTGTGGTTAGAAAATGCTATCGAACAGGTTTCAAGTGCCTGCAAAGAGTTCTATGCTCAAAGTGTTATATAGAATTTGCATCAGAAGCGGAACAGCGATGAAGTGCTATTGTTATATTGGCAAGTGTTATACTAGACTTAACTGGAGAAAGATATGGAAGCATTGAGATTTAGAACTACATAACTGGAATGTGTTATGCTCCATATGCTCGAAGTGTTATACTGAATGTACAACACTAGCAAGATATGACTACTGTTATATTGAGTTGATTAGTGAAATACTTCGTAGAGCTTTTGACGCAACTGTAAAGATACCAAGTATTGTAATGATAAGTGTTATGCTGAATTGTTTAACCAAATGTACAGAGTTATCATTTCTATTAAAGTTTGAATAAAGATCAAGATCCAGAGCTAGCTATTATACGAAACTCCATCACAAATGGAGCTCTTAAATGTAAAGTGTAATACTTGTAATCACGCCTTCATTAAGAGTTACTAAACAGCATTTTTAATGTATTTATTCATACTTCCAACTCTTAATAGCTGCAAGCTACAAAATTTACAAGCCTCACGATAAATTTTAACACGCACATCTCTAGCGATTCACGCCCCAGGGGGCAATTTGTACAGCAATTTGTGCGTCGCTTTACTTGTATGTGTGTGTGTGTTGCTTAGGCGTCTGTTTCAAGTTGTCGCCGTTGTCAGGAGAAACCGAAGGCGGGACCGGCCAGCGCTCGAGGAGCAACAACATGGACAACAAACTCGCGAATGCTTTGACAATTTGCAAACTCATCGCAGTCCGCTCATTTTTTTCTATATATAAATACAGAGCTCCATTGTTGATCATTATTATTATTACAATGTGTACATATAGTATTTCTGCTTTTATCAATTCACCTATCCACCTATCCACCTCTCCACTGGCAACAATGTAGCCGCATTTATAAACACATATCGTTTTGCCACTTCCCTTTCTATCTACAAGTATTTCTTTATCTGTCTATTCCCTGCTTTCCCCCCTTCATTCGCTTTCGACTGGTTTTTTTTTTGGAGTGGTTCCAACATTGAGATCCACACAGATTATTGGATTGTTTTGTCTTTTTTTTGACATTCAACACACGTTGCGTCTGTCTTCTATATTATAAATATTTCATTAGATATTGGATGCAAATATTCTATTGTATAATTTAGAGAAGTTCATTTTAAGTTTCGTTATGGATTGTATAAGCCAATCGAAGCAGAACTTTTTGTTTAGAAAGAGTTGTTCTTTTTCTTTTAGAATAAAGTTTGAATACAGTTAATAAGGTACTTTTATTTTTTGAATATTTAATTTCTCTTATATACAACCTATAGTGGGTCGTGGCAAGTCGTTCAAAACCACATATATGACCGTTTAGAGTTACCAAATTTCAGCCTATTTTCAGTGGTATTTCAACGTCTAGAACTTCATTTATTTCTAAAGTTCTTAACTCAACTTTCGCTTGCAAATTAAGTGCGTTTCGTTGACCCTAGAGCGCTGAATTTTGATGTGTTATTGGCTTTAAGCTTCAGTTCGTTTCAAGTCTGTACTGCCTACACTTCCTTATGTTAGCTATGTTTTGTTTTTTTCTTTTTTTCTTATTGTTTACTTGACTTTGATCGTCACACACTCATTAACAATTTTTCAATCATATACAAAGCTTAATTTACATCTTTACATTGTTGTTGTTAATAGTCTTTGTCATCGATTTTCTAGTCGCGCTGACTTGTTACGCCCATATTTGGCAGCAAATTCAAATCTGATGTCTCTTTGATCGTTTTTTGTTGTTTTTGTTGTTGTTTTTGTTTTGTTTTTGCTTTTATCGTTTGTATAAAATCTTGGTTCTATTTATTGCCCGTTGCTGTCTGTCTGGCTAGGCTCGTTCTAAGCTCAGGCATTACTCATTCCACACACGACCTTTGTTTAATAATGCTTATATATATTTATATATATAGGCGTATATATAGCTATATATTATTGCATATGCATATTTAACATATTTATATAGCCAAATGAGTTTCTTTTGTGAATATCGTATACAGTTTACAAGCTCTCAAAGCGTTTTAAGTGTTCTTTCACTGATTTTTATTATCATATATACGATTTAAATAATGTACCGTCTCTAAATATGGCATATATAGTTAGTGAGCTGTTTTATGTACATAGTTAATTTTAAATAATATATATGTATATGTATAGTAATTTTTCCAGATACATTCCTAGATAAATTGTCTAATATAGCATACTCAAAAAAAGAGTTAATTATGCAGTTGGTAAACAAAAATGTCAAACTGCTCGTTAAATTTAACAGCAACATGTAAAACTTGTTATAAGTTATTATTTAAGAACTGTAAAAAATGAATGAAATTCCATATTTCATCATTCATGCTATAAAGTGAGTGAATACAAAAACGAATTGTTAAGCTCATCGTTAAATTTAACAACAGCTTGGTAAAGAAAACATGTTTACGTTTTTACTATATAAATTTAACAGCTAGACAAAATGCCTGCTAGACGTAAAAATAGTTAAATAAAATGTTACCTAACAAACTGTCAAACTTGCAGTTAAATCTAACAGTAATTTGTAATAGCATTTTAATCTTAGATATATTGTCAAAGTTAACAGCAGAATTCTAAATAAAGCACACTAATATTTAACAATTAGTTAAGCTGCTGCTTAAATCTATCATTAAATTAAAAAAAAAAAACATGTTTATTCTATCAACTCAGCTCTAAGTCGCTCAAATTGACAGCTGTCCTTAGTAAAACATGCAATTTGTCGAGAACTTTTTACTTTCCCCATTAGATTCTAAAGTGCTAAAATGGATTTCTACTTGTAATAATCATTATAAGCATGCAATATGCCAAAAACGCTGACGTTTTTTATGAGCTGCTAACGAACGGCTTAGCCAAAAAAGAGAAGTCTCAATAAATTTTGATAGCTTTCGTGCGAATGGCGAGAGCTTCAGAACCTAGAAATTCGCTTTCGTCTGGCACCGAAACCAAGAAACCAATTGAGGCGTTGAATGACTGACTGATTGAATGACGGCTTGACTGGCTATAGAAAATATAAAGTTATCGGTAATGTGGCGTTGCATTTGGCATTTGGTGTTGTTGTAAATTGTTGAAAATTACTTACGAGGTCAGCAATGGGCCCTGATTTTAACGGCCAGAAGTTGCTCAAGCTGAAGGACCTTGCAACACGCCAGGGCGCACTCGGATTAAGATCTCGCATGTGAGCAAAGAGTTTGAAGAGCGAAGCGAACAGAACACTAGGAATCCACACAAAAGAAGATATCAACTGACCCTGAAGACTGCTCAACAAGAGCCCAAAAAACGTGCTTGGTAATAAATCATAAACAAAAATCTGATTTTTTTAACATTAACTGCAAACTTGGCTGAGCAGCAAACGCAATCAGACGGAACAAGACCACATGATAATTAAATAAAAATTTATGAATATTACTATAGACGTCTATATACATGCATAAATATATATGTGTAGATGAATACGCAAATGAATAATGAACTAAATGTACAACTTGGAGCCCATGCAATGCTCTGAAGTGCTTATTAATGCAGCTTGGCCTCTGACATTGACTTTAACATGACCTTTGTCAAGTGAAGTTAAATTAAAACAATTGCAAGTGATGGGAACATTTTGGTTGTTGATGTAATTCATAATTACAATCAAAATTAAGCGAGAGCTGTTACAAAAATTTCTCTTAGATTTAGATGACATTTGTTTTGTATAACAGTTTATATAATAAGTATTTAAAACCCTACAGTAATTTAAACAATTTCAATGAATATTGCAAATATATCAAATAAATATATGTAACTTTTGTCATAGCTCTAGCATAATTACTTTTAAATGTCAATGATTTTTCACACTTATAATATACACAAAGTGTTGATATCTTATACAAATATATTATAACATACTAGTATAACAGATATTTAACCTTTTAAGCATTAAATCACCTTAACTCAGTTTAAGTCGATGTTTGTTTAATTTTTGTTTCACACAGCTGTCTTGGTCTATCAGTTAAATTTGTGTTATATGCAAATCATTAATCATAACAAACATTAAAAACTTTATTTGGCATAAGACTCACACTCAGTTGAATTAGCATTCAACTTCAGCAGAAATCAAGCAAAAATGTAATAAATTCGAAAATAAACAATCCAAAATTTGAGGTGTGACAAATTCCTTAAAAAGTATTGCACTCAGAATATAAATAAGTTTACAATTTATACAATAAATATAAACTGTAAGATTAACCCTCGCTGTAAAATGGAAGATTTGTTGTTTGTGGGGAAGGCAAATTTGTAACTCAATCAGGCGTCAAAATGCGGAGGCCCTTGACGTCAAATGAGAAGGAAAGACAGATAGAGAGAGAGAGAGGCGGAGAGATAGTGAATTCGCAGCCAACTGTTAAAACACAGCTTAAACACAGCTGAGCTTGTGTATGTTTGTGTTTGTGTGGATCATATGTGGAACGTGTTCACATTTTCTAGTTACCAGCTGAAATGTGTTCACACACATTTCTATGAATATTTAAAATACGTGTGCTGCCCACGCTTCAATAATTATACAGCATTTTTAATTGTGTACTATATTTTATTAGTATGCCATTGTTATAGTTAATTTCGATTGTTTGTCCATATAAAGCAGTTGCGGAAGCCTATTGAATAAAATTGTCGAGTGCTTTTGGACTTAATTGAATTTTGTTTGAATTATTTGGCACATTGATTAAATACCAAAGAAAGGCAACAACTTAAACAATGATAGACTGTTTATCAAATTTGCTACGCCTCGATTTCGGGGAAATTCGCTATAAACTAGAAATCAAATTAGAAACTAACAATCAAAGAGAGTCATTATAAAGCGTGGTGCAAATCAGCGGCAAGATTATTTATTAAACACGACGTTATTTTCAAACAATCGACAATTGATAGACGCGATCCGACGACGCGCCATCAACCGCACGAGCTCGAAGCTAAAATAACACTAAGCTAGAGACAACGCCGACAGCACCAGCAGAGCCACTCAAGCAGTAGCAAACTGCGTGTATGAGTGAGAGCGGCAGCACAATGACACACAACGCAGCTCCTTTGCAGCTGTCTCTTGTGCTGCTGCTGAGTGAATGTGGGAGAGCGCTATTGGGCGGGAGCAAGTGCATTACATTGGAGAGTGGGCTGTGGGCTGTGTCTGTCTCTCTGAGTGTGCTTGTGTGCGTGCGTGTCTGTGTGTGTTTGCCGGCGTGTGAAACTTTATGTAAATTAGCGTGTATTTGTATATGCGGAAAATAAAAATAAAAGTTTATGCCAGTGTCTTTGACAATAAAAACAAAAACAACGAAAAAAAAAATGAATAAAAACTATTGCTGATACGGTACAATGAGTGGCTGATAAATTTTTAAACAGCCTAACACACAGCAGCCGCAGCCAACGAGAACCTGCCTCAATTTGTGTGCGTATGTATGTGTATGTATGAGTATATGTACAATGCATGTGAACAAGTTCAATGCACGTTGATTACACAAAATAGCAGGCCAACATCAACAACAACAAGAATATAAACAATTCTGTGCCTTTTATTGTAAACATAAAAACACGCACACAAACATAAATTTTTTATAGTTTTTTCCAAACAATTGTTGCTTTTGATGCTTTTGGTACGTGCTGTTCAACCTCTGCTGTTTTATCATTAAAATGTCCAAATGAGCACAAAATTAGTTACGCAAAACATTGGGTGGCTAAAGGTTTAATTTCTCCGCTACACAAAGTCAGCGCTGCTGCTGCTGACGTCATCCACTGCAGCGGCGGCAACTGCAGAAAAAAATGTGAGACGAACTTTTTGTTTTTCGGCAGTGTCAAGTTTGACGAAGTATCAGAGGGGGAAGGCAAAGAGCGAAAATAAAAATGCGCTGGGGCAATAAAAATTAAATTCAGTTTTGATATGCAAATTCAGCGACGCACCAGAGGCGAAACTTATGCAAAAATTATACATACATACATGAATATATATATACAGTAGGGAGCAAAAGTGTTTCCATAGTTGACACTTTCAACTCTGTGAGCCGATAATTTCTAAACGAATGAAGCAAATCAAAAAAACTTTTTTTTCCAATAATATGTATTTAATTCTTAACAAATTGCCGTATATAACAAAAACAAAAGTTAATCAGTAAAATATTCAAACGAAGAAAACTGAAACAAAACGCATGTGTACAATTTTGCACCTTCCGATATTCTTACTTTGGTTTGATTTCTTAATTCTCTTATCGGCAATACACATGCAGTTTTACCCTTATATGTTTTATTTATGCATTCCACACTTTTATGATCCAGAAATCCACGTGTTTCTTATTATTTGAAGTAGATTTTTTAATTTTAGCAATTAGTCTACAAAGTACCGCGAAAAAATGAAGAAGCGTTCGTCAGATGTCGAAAATAGTATTATTAGCCTAACTGAAAGTGGCTGTTCGACTCGTAGTACTTCAGATCAGCTTAATATTTTTCATTCAGCGGTGTCCGAAGTCCAGAAAAGACGCAATGGTACATCCAAAAACACTATTAAAGGCCGCAAACGACTCTTAAAGGACTCTGACGCCAGACTAATGGGAACTGATAAGTTCCTAACACCGAAGAAGGCATCTATGGACATAGGGAAAGACGTGAGTCGGCGGGTGGCTAGAAGAGCACTAGCTAAGGTTGGATATGTGGCAAGTGTGAAACAAAATAAACCAGCTCTATCCGAGAAGAATGTCAAGGGTCGATTGAAATTCGCCCGGGAACACAAGAACTGGACTGTAGATGATTGGAAACGTTTTATCTGGTCGGATGAATCCAAGTTCAACCGTTTTCAATCAAATGGCACGCAATACTATTGGCACAGGTCCGGGGAAAAGCTTCAAACACACCATGTGAAGCAAACCGTTTAGCATGGAGGAGGCAATGTCAAAGTTTGGGGATGCTTTACTTGGTGGCACATTGGACCATTGCATAAAATTGATGGTATAATGTTAAAAGAAGACCATCTAAATATTTTGAAAACCTGTCTACCCAATTTTCTGGACAAGTGTGCATACCCCGTAAGGGAAATCATTTTTCATCAAGATGGGGATCCGACGCACACTGCCAAAACTGTCCGCGAATGGTTACAAAACCAAGATTTTATGCTGATGGAGTGGCCAGCTAAAAGTCCCGAACTCAATCCGATTGAGAACCTGTGGTCAATCGTGAAGCGACGGCTCGGGCAATATCAATCAATGCCATCCAACCTAGACGATCTTTGGAAGCGTGTAGAACTGAAGTGGAACCGAGTTCCAAAGGAAACCATAGAAAAGTTGGTCGAGAGTATGCCAAACTGAATAAAAAATGTAATAGCTAATAAGGGTCTGTGGACAAAATATTGATTTTGAATCATATTTAATTTTTTTCACTGAAGGTGCAAAATTGTACACATGCGTTTTGTTTCAGTTTTCTTCGTTTGAATATTTTACTGATTAACTTTTGTTTTTGTTATATACGGCAATTTGTTAAGAATTAAATACATATTATTGGAAAAAAAAGTTTTTTTGATTTGCTTCATTCGTTTAGAAATTATCGACTCACAAAGTTGAAAGTGTCAACTATGCTCCCTATTGCTCCCTACTGTATATATATATATATATATATATATATATATATATATATATATATATATATATATGTATAAATATATATATATACATATATTTTTGTTTTCTTTTTAGAAACTAAAATGAAATATTTATGGCTTCGAGGCGACAAAGTCAAAAATAAATAAAAGAAAAATTGCCAAAGACGAGTAAACTGCAGTCAGCTGCTGCGACTGCATTCAAATTTTAATGTCAGGTTTGACGACAAATGAGATGTGCTGCAGGCCAACAAATGCTGACTTCACTTTAGTCCTTCTCTCTACTCTCTCCGTCTCTATCTCTTTCCTTTTCTCTTGCTGTGCGTGCCAAGAAAAATATTTGCTCTACATTCAGGCGTGAAAAGACTGTGTGCGTGCATTGAACATTTTCCTTTTTCTCTAGCCTCGATTAAAATGCAGTGAGTGTCTGTCTCTAGTAGCAAATATAGCTACCCCTTACGTTTGCTCGTGTGTGCATATGTGCCTGTGTTTTGGACAACGTTCAAGGTCAGCGCACGATTGTGATCGCTTTCGTAGCTTTTGACAAAGTAGCGAAAAAAGAAGCCAAAGCAAAAGATTAATTAACAGCAATACATAGAGCAGTCTGCGACGACAAGAGTGAGCGAGAGCCAGACAGAACAGATAGCCGAAAATATTGAGTGCCGTATAAAACACGAATTCGGACAACGTCGCTATAAAGCGAAACTGTTCGAAAATAAAAAAATTGCAATATGCGACATTATTGATACCCTATAATATATAAATATATATAAAATAATCTTTTGGATGAAATCTTTTGAAAAAAATTTAAAGATAAATAATATCACAATGTTTTTTACAAACTGTAACCCAACAAAATAGCTGACAAACCTCTTGCTTTAAGGGTATTAAATATAATATACTGTTTGAACAGCAGGCCACAAAAAAGCAATTATTATAAATAATTATTAGAGCGCAATGGCAGTTACACACACACAAACGAACATAGCCACAAAACCTAAAAACTTTTTCTATATATTTCACTTGCTGTTGTTGTGACTTCTGCGAGAGCATAGAAAAGCAAATTCGATAGATAGGCCGGCAAACAACAGTTTTGCTGCTCGCTCACGCCCCTCCGGTTCACCCAACTAACTTTCCATACGTATTGTAAATTTTCCATTGTTTATGATTAAAGTTATGGCGTTTGCTTTTGTTCCGCTTTTATTTTTTGTTTTTTTTTTTTTGTGTGTGTAAATGTTAAATATATGCAGCAAGTTAGATGCAAAGTGCGCAGATAAGCTAACAGAGGCCAAAGTAAAGCTCATTAAGAGCGGCGCTCTTTATCAAGCACTCTCTCTCTCTCTTTCTCTCTCAAACTATCTCCATTTCATCTCTCTGCTTGAGTTAATTATGCTTAGATGCCCTACAAATGGGGCTCAGAAAACAAATTCCTCAGAGCCA